AAGGAAAGGTCAATTCAGAGATTATCAAATCAGTAAATTGACATATTTTGTGATCCAACGAAAGATCCGCAAACAACAAAACTTATCTCTTTGATTATTTCAATTAAACAAAATCAACAGCTAAAACAAGTTCTTTAACTACTAGCAACACGATTATGAAAACATATTCTTTAGATGGTATCTAGCCTACTAACAACACGATTATGCCAAAAATCCAGGTTAGCTGCCATCTTGACCCCAATGTTTATGGATAGAAATGAATTATCTTTCAGAATCGACCATTTGTAGACAATACATGACATCGTCATGAACAATAATATCAAGTTCAGCAGTACAACCTTTTCACCACGTTCGCTTTTTAAAAGTTAAAATATTTAGCAAACAAAACCAGCATTAAGATAAATTCCATTGTTTCAAGTAAGTTGTTTCTTTGTACGGGTTGTAAGTATAATGATTAACACGGTATTGACGGATTAAGAGGATTACTACGATAATCCATCGAAGAGATAAGAGAAAGATGCTAAACTAGGTTAAACAATAGAACAATTGTTAACTAGTAGTCTGAATTCTTCTGGAGATGTAATACCCAGGTAAAAGTTTGTCATTAAGATTAAGTGTGTTGGAAGTTTCTGTCGCTATATTTCTCTGTAGCAATTACTTCATAAAGATGTACAAATATCACCACACCCTATACGCGAGTGGGGTGGAATGTGGTCGACATTAAATGGAAAGGAATAATTTGGTCTGTTTAGACTAACATAATATGGTTACTTTTCCCTATTGTCGATCGTCCAATGCTTAGTTAGGACAATTTATTAGAGTGACGAATGTGCTGTACTGGAGTCAAAAGTAAAAATGATGATTATACTGCATGCGAGCTAGTAATCCAGACATTGCCATCCACCCGCCAGGTTTCCGAGAATTCAAAATCCAGACTTCAAAATGATTTTCTTGTGAGAGATGTACCTATTGGGCAAAACAATTTTGGTTACTTAATATATATCAACAGATCTAATATTAAGATTTTTACCTTTTTTATTATTTGTTTCTGAGTTTTGGTTGCACAAATGGCTATTTTTTGTAAATAAAGCATGTTCTTATTATTTGCATGTAGATAAAATAAAACTTGACGAAAACAAATAAAACTGAAAGAGATAACGCCCCGTCTTTACACCGGGAAACATCAGTGGCCAAAAACAACATATTTTGAAATTCGGCGTGGAATTTATTCTACGAAAACTGGAATAAGTTGGATTCAAAACATTACGTAATATTTATTCATACTTTGGAGCTGAAACCCCCATTAAATTCCTATTCTTTAATCAAAGCATTCTCAGACAAAATCAACAATTTAACAGAACTTCAATGGAAAAATAAAATAGAAAACATCCCCTCTTTTTAGAAATGAGATTCTTAAAAGTTTCTCAAATAATTTTATGGCCCTTTTACAATATGAACGACATGGACTGATTAAAGAAATGAAATGAAATGAGTTTAACGTCCTACTTTTCTGCACCGACTGGGCTAATCAAGACGGGCGTACACCATACAGTGTGCTATGAGAGAAATTTTGATCGGACAACGGTGAGGTGACCTACTCTTATTACTATCAAGGATTATTTTACGTGCACATCAATGTGTACACGGAACCGTGGGTTTTAGACCATCTGAACGACTAGACGCTGTCCTTGTCAGGCCCTCCATCCTGCACGTCCTGACAAGGGGAAACCCCCCGAACGAAAATCCCAGGGAACTTTTTCGGCCAACACCGGGATCAAATCCGGGCCACCGTGGTTTGTGAGCCGGCGTGTAATGTTTGATTTAAAAGAGCATCTAACACCAATTTAGTGAATTAAAAATATATATAAGAGAAATCGCAAACTTATTATACACACAAAACGAATTTCTAAGTATTTCAAACGTTAGCTTTTCTAATAAGATATTGACATATTCCACTCCTTGAAATGACTTGAAATATCTTTACTTAAAACTTTTGTCAGATTCCATTTCTCAAGTATTTCATCAGATAAGATCGTCTTTGTATAGACGCGTAGCAGTAAGCCAGGGATTTTGACGACTCTTCATATTGTGTGAAGTTGTCGTTTTACTCCCTTCATCGCGCAATTTGCTTTGGCTATTTTGAGACAAGGCTGAGTAAACGACAAACGTCAGGTTTCGACTTGGTTTTGTGTGTTTTCTGTAGCTTTGCTAGTTTTTATGTCATTTTAAGTTGAAGTGATAGACACAGTTTAGTGGAGTGGATCCTATATACCAGGCATGTGGAGAGACAATTAATAATCATGGAGTTATTTAAGGTAAAACTTATGTGAATGATCTTGTATGCGTTCAACTTGACGTTTTCATAATTTATGTTATTGATTAAATTAATGCACGTTTATTTAAAATTTAAATTGTTGATTAAATGCACCTTTTATTTCTAGAATTGGTACACTTTGAAAATCAGACATAAAGTATCGTAGAATCTTGTTTAAAAAATAACAACACAAATAATTCAATCGTATTATTGTGTATAAAACAAACACAGTAAGTTAATCGTAAACTACGGTATACACAGAAAACAATTCAGTTTGGGAAAATAATTATACATACATGGTTCTCAAAACTTTCGAGACTGCAAATATCCTCATCAACACTGAATCATTTTTTTTTTATCTAACCAATTAAAAAAGTTTGACTAATAGTCATAATATTTTAAATTCCAGAAAAAAAAGACTTAGAGACACTTCAAATAGACTAATACCAAATTTCTACGTTATTGTTTTATATTATCAAAGTGTTGCTTCCAATACATATGAAGGCGAAAAGTGTATGTTCTTCTATTTAATTACTATAGTATCAAATAAAGAGAGAGAGAGAGAGAGAGAGAGAGAGATTAACGTCCACTCGACACAAACTAGGCCATTTCGTGACTAACATATGGTTCTGTTCTATTTCAATAAATCGCTTGCACGCAGGGGTCTCAAAAATTAAAGACTAAGATTAAAACATAAAACTTATATAATTAAAAGATTCAATGAAATAAAATAATATATTAGGGTCATAAGAAGGAATAAACAAACGAATACATCATGGCAGAATGAAAGGGATAAATACATAATTTTACCACATGCACCACTCAGCTTTTTCCAGACCACCTGCCACACCATGGAACAAAACAGGGTTATCCTTGGGATGGGATGGGCATTCAAAGCGCGAGATAATGATATAGACATATTATGTGATATCACATTTAATGCCCTGCATCAATGAACCCGCCTTCATTAGCCCAGTCGGAGCAGAACAGTTGGACGTTAAACCCCATTTCATTTCATTTGCATCAGTGAAATTGAATCACAACGTGATCCTATCAAAGATACATGTTCCCGAAAGTATTTATCGGGTGGTTATTTCCAGTACAAGCGTGGCAAATTTGGTATATATAGAAAGTATAGACGACACCCAATCTTACTAGAAAAATACCGGATAAGCCCCCCCAAAAAAAAACAAACACCCATGGGGCAAGCACTGGGCAAAAATGTCAGGGTATCACTAATTGGCAACCCGACTGTTGTCTGCCAGCTTAGTATGTGCTATCTTGACTGAGGGAGCGGTTGTAATTTCTTGATAAAATGGTTAGGTAGTTTTGGGAACATTGAGGTGTGTCAATGTGCAAAAGACTCTGCAATTAATTAAACGGCAGAAAAAGTAGTTGACAGAACATAATTAAGAATTTACTTAGGCCTCAATATGTATTATAAATGGACAGTAAGTAACGAAAAATACATTCTGATAAATCCCTCCCCCCCTTCAATGAATTGAGCTGACAGACATGGTTTCTAACAACAGTTTATTTATAGCTTGTGGTATCTCCCGACGCATACGGAGTTTTGAGAAGGATTTGAAACAAATTTTTGATAGATTAATTAGTTTAAATATGTTTTAGTCCAAATATATCATCAAATCACACAGTTTATACGCGGGAAAGTATCTTTAGTTCATGATAAAAATTGACGTCAAACGGGGTGTTGGATTTCTCTCTTTAAAAAGCTCAATGTGTATGTATGCCTACGTAATTTGGCGACGATGGTGGCATCATGCATTGTCAATTGTCAAATTTCTTTAACAGGAACCTGGCAAACCCCTCCTGCAAAAATTCCTGGTATCAATCCATTCCGTTCAAATACGCCAATTGCTCTGATTTCTTTGGAGGATAATATTGACATTGACGATGGAACGTTCTTCATTTGTATTCATCGACATCACCACCACCATGGCCAACGTTTATATACAAATCAAATACCAACAACGCTTTAATTTAAACCGAATAAAGTCCAACCTAACTTTATCATTAATCTTATATAATGTCGAATATCGTGTTTAATCAGGGGCGGGTCCAGCAATTTTTGCGAGGTTCCTGTTAAAGAAATTTGACAGACCATATGGAAATAATTGTGTAATCGTAAAATGAAATCGCTCGCTGTTTACGTTTTCAATGCTACATTACTATATACTATAAAATATAACATTTGTGGAAAATTCGTTTTAATTAATGATTGATTCATACTGAAAATTCGGGTAACAAAGAAGAACATTTTCGGGCAAATAGTCTCAACCCCCTCAACTGAGATTGGCGCCCTACGCCTATGCACCAATAGAAACATTGCCAATGTTGAATGAACTCAATGTTTATTCAAAAGCGTTGTATATGTTAAACCAGTATCAAAATGAGTATTCTCTCAACGTTTTCAAGCAAGTGAAGGAATACTCTTTAAAACGTCGCCTAAATAAATCAGTAATTGTTCTTCCATAAGTGTTTGTTATAGTTTATTGCTCTATCCAGTTACTAAATGCCTCTAAAAGATCCCTGTCTGTTATTATATGATAGAGAAGGTGTGTATATATCCCTATCGGCAGTGATCTTCTGGCCAAGTATTGGTCTAACGGTAAACATTAATTGAAATCTTTACTTTAAACCGTATTGGGTGTCTTGACTGTTGAGAAAGCACACAAGCTGCAGTAGGACAAACACTCGGATGTGATGGATTCTTACGATTAAGTGATGATTCAAATACTACACTGCGAACAGTTTAACTTCGAGGTTTCTATAAGACGTCAAAGACAGTATTGTTTTTGTGCTAAAATCATGCCAAAGATTTTGTCAAGAGCAAATCTCTGCAACTAATTCGAGATTTATTGGGAAGTGAGAAAATATTTTCATTTCTACAGAAAGTTTGTTTCTAAAATTAATTTTTGATGATTGCTGGTTTGTAAAGAAGTCCGACGCAAGTTGAAATGTTGGGTATGTAAATATATAAAAGTAGGTCTGATAGTTTTATTATAGATTTGTATTAAGCTGCGCACGCGCTACTGCGACGTCTGCGGACATCGGATTGTATGTTCAAGTAAGTTAGGAATGCTGGAATGACAAACTATTTAGAAACATTTACTTTAGTCGACAGTTGACATTAATGTTCGAGGGTAATGTATAGGCTACCAGTTGTTCAGTAAACTGGACAGACACTTCAGAATAAATGACATGAAATGATAAGTGGAGTTGAACGTCCTACTTTTCTGTGTCAACTGTGCTAATGCAGAGGGACAAACGCTATCCGTCTACTGGCCTGGGCCATGGGTATCTAGGCTTGAAAATCCCGAGTAACATTCACGGCTAACAACGGGATTGAACTCGGGACTCTTAGGTTATTAGTGAGTCAACGGGCTTTCCGTCTACTTTTCCTTGACAGGCTAACATCGAAAATGGAATCCTCTGTTCAGCGAGAAAGTGCCGTCGTTTTTCTAGTTTTGTTTTTGATTACCAAATTAGGGAAATCAGCCCCTTTTAGCCCTCCATTTTTATTATGTTGATTGTCACCATAACTTAACTATTTAAAAAAAAAGCAGAAATAACACATGAAACAGTATTATAAACCCGCCATTTTTAGGAGATTTAGAAGTCTTCTCCAACTGCTAATCCATTTCATATTTGGTTTTCCTGATATAATCTTGTGCATTTGTTTTTGTATATTGATTTTTCTGTTTGGTGTATTTAAGCATTAGACATTTTAAAAAGAGAATAACTAGAGCTGGTGACCACACAATAGTGTTTTATCGAACTAGATCAAATTATTTCTTGGGATAGGCACGGTAATCAAGGTGTTGGCTTATACCGTTATTGATCGGATTTGAACCCAAACAGGTGGAAAAAATAAAGTAACGATGCGCCATTTGTATTTTTCGCTAAAATGTCAAATTTCATACGTCTTAATCCCCGCTAATATGTACCCAGGTTGGTCATTTAATATTTGATTAAGAAAATAAAATCACAAACTAACGATAGATAATGCCCCGACTTGGACTCAATCGGACAACAAATTGGCGGCTGGCTTATTTCATGACGATGCAGTATAGATCGATGAAATATCTTTGTAAATACTGAAACGGAATTGAACCAATTTTGGACTGATATTCCTATTAGAGATTAATCTTACACAATATTGCAAATGAGTCCTATAGCGCTAAAATAAAAGTTAATAATACTACATGTACTTCGATTTTTGTTTTTTTCTAAACCTTATAAATAATCTAGTTGATGCATGTTTACGACCGTACTTCGTAAAACCTAACATTAACAACAGCAAATGCAAAGAAATAGTGTCTGTTATAGTCAATTATATTTCTTAGCTTTGATCTAGGACAAGTTTCTCTTCAAATGTAATATTCCAAATAATTATTACATACTGTGTCTAGAGCATCTGATACATGCACTTATTGTGGGACCAATAAACATTTATTTTTATTACCTTAGTGCACAATGAATTGAGACAAAGAACACATTGGCTCGAGGCCGTTAAGGTGCACTAGTCGCATTTTTATACACCCACATTTAAGCGTGGGCTTATTATGTCGTCACCTTGTCAGTCGGCCCGTCGATCCGTGAAGACTTGACTTGTGAACACAATACAGTCTACAGTTTTTGGCTGATTCTTTTCAAATGTGGTGTAAAGCATCGTGGTCATGAGTGGACGAACCGCTATAGATATTTTCGTTCTGGAGTTCTGCCCCCTTTTCCGAAAACCTTGTGAACGCGATAGAGGCTTTAGATGGGTTCTTTTTCCAGTTAGGTGTAGAGAATTGTGATCATGGTAGGACGAACCTTATCGATATTCAGCGTTTACGATATTTCGTTCCGATCTTATGAGCCCTTTTCCGAAAACCTTGTGCACGCGATAGAGGCCATAGTTTATGACTGCTTGTTCTGTGACTTACAGTTCCGGTGTTGTCTCTCCTTTGCTGAAATTTGGATTGACGCCATCTGCGACCTTCCGTTTCAGAGTTATCCCTCCTTTGTCAAAGGTCACAGTTTACGAAGGAATCTTTTCCCAAATTTGATATTAAGCATTGTGGTCATGAGAGAAGAAACCCTATTGATATTCAGTGTACCATGACTTTCCGTCCCGCCCCCCCCCCACCTTTGCCGAAAACCTTGTAAACACAACAGAGGCTATAGCTTTTAACGGATGTATTTCAAATTTGATTGGAAGTATTGGGGTCATGTGAGGATGAGCCCTATCGATCTTGAGCAACTAGTTTGTTGGATATTCAGCGCTTTATAAATAGATTATTATTATTAAGCGTTCTGCGACTTTCCGTTCCGGAATCATCCCCCGTGTAGTTTTTGACAGATTTTTGTAAAATTTGGTGTGAATCATTGGGGGTCATGAGTGGATGAAAATTGTGTAAACGTGATAGAGGCTATAGGTTTTAACATATTTTTTTCACAAGAGGATGAACCGTAGAGGTTGGATTTTGTTTTTTAAAAAAATCCTAGATCATTCTCAAATTTTATTCCACGCTTTGCATGGCTATCTTTATATTTATTGACTCTCTATTTCCTATTTCAGATATTTGATGTGGTGTAGAATGGGATTATGGCAAAATATCATCATTATTACAGTCATGACATTCCCGAATACAGTAGTAACGACCACCCAGACCTGATGGCAGAATTAAGTTTATCGGGTTATTCACGCCGTTCAAGTGGATTTAAAAGCGTATTGTTTTCTGTCACTGCATTTTTAGAGTTACTTTTACTGATTAGTGTTATCGTATTGGAGTATTTTCTGAGGTAGGTAGAATTTATTGCATATATATTAGAGAATTTAAAATGGGATAACCCACTAAAGATGGTTTGCCGAATCTATTTTCGAAGATCCGTGGAGTAAAGAAAGAGTAGACGTTGTCCCTAAATTGTTGCCAGCTTTCGACAGCCCGACCTTGTTTTATAATCCCCAAAGGCTAAAGGTCAGTTATTGATATTAGCACACAGTAGTATAAATTAATTCGCATTGTCTTCTTGTTGGGTACCAATGGACAATCTTTTGCAGCAGTTGCTAATAGTAAGCTACACTTAATATTCTAGTCTCCACAATTATCATTGGATTTTCATGACATCTTAATAGATTATTAAACTGGTAATGCATATGGAAACCGCCTTTTGATTTCTGGCGATTTCCAAAAGTAACTCTTATGGTGTATTGCCCTGGATTACGAAAGGTAGTTAGAACTCCTCCACACACTTATTACTGGATCTTTATGGATTATTAACATGTCGTTCAACTTGATGACATAATTAAAGACCCTACTGATTTTCGACGATGACTTCTTTACGCCTATTGACTACGAAACCTTGTTCAACGCTCAAAAAATCCATATGAGGTCTATATTAAACCACACGATGCATAGGCATTCAGTCCTTGATTTTCAAGATAAACTAACAATAGCAAAATACCGACAGATTTTTGTACCAACCTATACTGTTATTTTATGTTGACCAAGGAAGGTTTGCTCTAAAACCAAATATGGACAGTCTACTTGTATGCTGGTTTTCGATATTACATAATTCGTCAACTAGAATTTGCTTTTGAATTGATTTAATTGCCTATTTAATTCTATATTTTATTCTAAATCAGTTTGTACTTTTTATCTGTTAATTTCATACGGAAATCAGCTGATCATCTTTTAAAGTTGACATGATTGTTTGATTTAAAAATCTATTTATCTTGACAGAAAAAATGTCTTTACAAACGGTACACAGTTAAATAACATCTACAGTTAAATTTGAAAAGATATGCAAAATATTTAAAACCTGCAAAAACTTGACTATCAAGATGCGCGATTCAGAGTTTGATAAATCTGAAAAGGAAGTTTAATTGACTAAATGTTAAGACCAGGTCATAATATTGTTGGCACGACAGAGATCTCCAAACATTGACAGCAGGAGGAAAGATTAAGTTGTAAACAATCGCTATCAATACTGATGAAAATAAAACAAGAAGAACGATTACCTTTGGTAAATTTAATTTACAGCCGGGATATGAGCAAAGACACGTTTGGGAGAAATTTGGCATGATACTATTGATGTTAATCGGCAAACTGACAAACAGAGATTTAGGATCGGAGGGATTTGGTCATTGGACAGAGCTGATACAGCCCAAGAGAAACATTGTAAAGTGGATAATATATTTATAGTTCGCTAAATTAATCCGGTAATTTGATTATAGAAACTGTATGGTCAGTTGTGATATTTTAGATACATTGATCTGAATTATGATGCTAAATAACATTTCTTTTAGTCACGATAAAGTATAATATAGCATCTAAGACTTCCAATTTTTGAAGAACTGAGAGGAAAAACCACTACAGTTATTATCCATTCTGAAAAGTACAACTTTATGAATAAGATGAAAAAGAACTTTTGATATAAAAGTACACTACCACAGTCTAACGGAATATGTCCTGAAAGAGAATTCAATATATAGTGTCTTTTGATCGAGGGAATTAAAGAACTACTATATAAAAGAAAATTCTACCGGATGCCAACATAATAACAAGACAAAGCAATTTATTAGGTGAGATTTATATATTAAAATAATTCAACCTCTTTGATTTGAGCCAAAAATAAAATTGTCGATTTCATCGGATTTATTCATTTGTTTTTGGTGATGACACGTGGCTTCCTAAGAGAAAGTCAAAAATGAAACTAGAATTAATAAATAAACCGACATCAGCCTAATCTTAATGTCTCTGTAATATTAATCCCATGGACACAGCAACATTGCGATAGTTGAATCTCTATAGAGGAAATGTTAGTCCAAAAATGTCTCAATTCCATTCAGTATTAACAAAGATGAAATGATTGACCTAATGAAGTCGGGCATACGCCGTGCAGTGTGCAAATGGTGAAACTTTGCCCGAACAGTGTTCTTAGAAATTTGTTCACCATTGTATATACGTGACCTCTGTTTTTCGTACCATCCGAACGAATTGTTGGCGCTGCACCACTAACAAGGAGAAACCGCGCTGGAAAATCCCGGCTAACTTTCTCGGTCAACCCCAGAATCGAACCCTTGACCTTCTGGTTAGTGAGCCATTTGTTCATTCATGGTGCCTATCTTTCACTTGCAGAAAATACATTCGGCATCCACTGCTGGCGATATATATATATGATATAGTCAAGTTTTTTAAGACAGGATGGTGTTGCGTTTACGCTTACTGTCAGCCAAACCAGTTTAACTTTTTCTAGCCTCTTCGGTCGGAGGTAGAGTTAACTATGCCTGGGTGACTTCATATTCTTTATTCGGTTCTTGCACGCTTTCGATAACACTGGCACGGCATGACGCCGCCATTTTCCCGGAATGTAACTTTACTGTGTACTGCGCATGTCCAAAGCGAGCTGGAATCGTTTTTTTTTAAGCCAACCCGTAAAGACGGCCAAGATGAACCAGTTTAAAATAAAAAGCCTCCTTGAAGACAGGTCGCGAGCTAGGGTTTTTAAACTGGTTTATTTGCCCCACCTCCGCGTTCAGACGACAAAGTTAAACTGGTTTACGCCCGGATTTTAAAACCAATTTAACATAAGCGTCTTAGCGGGCTATTAGCTAAAGATTATATTTCAAAAAATAGATAATGTAAATTGAATATATTGAAAATTTTATTAAACTTGCTTTATTTGAGCGAAGTTATCAATGATTGTAGTTTTGACAAGATATGTACATTGATCGCAACCACCGTACTGACCATTCGAGTCTTACCCCGCGTCTTCACTTCTTATCTACTTGATTTAGCCCTTACATAATGCCTGTTTAATCAAAGGGGTTTAACACCCTTAAAACTCTTTGTTATAAAGAAATAAGATAATTATAAGAAATAGATCGGATGGATTTACACATGGACCCCGTTCTTGTTATACATGTGCTTTATACACTGTTCTAAACCTCGATCGTTGACCTTGCCAAAGGTGCATTTCTCACATCTTTAAACGACTTATTTATGCAAAGTTGTATACAATGTAATCTACTTACTATAATGTGCCAATCTTCGCGGATATGGATGATCAATATTATTCTTTTCAACACCTCTTCCCACACACAAGTATGGTATAAAAAAACACACCTTGGGACATTATTTCGACACTTTTTGTAGTTAAAGTTTCAGGGAGGAAATCCGAAGGTTATGATACCGAGAAAAGCAAAGCTTTATCGTTATGGTTCTCCGTTTAAAAGGACCACATATTTCGGAATAGAAAGATTTTTGTGTCGATTCCATTACAAATTTTCCAAATAAAGTCCAATATCACCATCAAAATTCAAATCGGCAGCAAAATATTAAAGAAATGAATGAAAATTTAAATTTAAAAATGACACGCAGTGTTTAAGTCCACCGTGCACGTTAAAGACGTAGTAGTAGTAGTAGTAGTAGTAGTGGTAGTAGTTGATGAATGACATACATGTTAATATTTAATCATTTCATTGGCCCCAGTTCCTGTCATTTAATATCTTGAGATTTTTCACTCAAAAACTAAACGATAACAAGACGTTGGGGCAACGATATTCTCTATTTTGATTTTATCTCAGCACTCAAGGCATGTTATTTTTTCCTTAAAGTTTTAACTAAAACAGTTTAAAGAAAGTGATGATTTCTACAAAGTTTTTTTAAAAGCAAATATTGACAATGGGGTAGAGTTTTGTGATTTTTCCCCTAAAATGTACGAAATGGTTTAGCAGTTAAAACAATCAGTAATTGTGTAGTTAAACTGTCGGTAAAATGCAAGCAATTTAAACACGTTTTCTTACATTGTCAATATTTATTTAAATTTTAAAGTTTATTTAGGAAGAAATTTGGTCAGTAGCCATTGCACTATTTGACCGGATTATCCAGGTGAAAACATTTTATCTCTATGTCTTTGGGTCTATAACGGGTTATATTGTACTAAATGTTAAATCTGCTTATTGCAGGACTTTTTTCTGGCTTGAAATGTTATGCAAATTTTATTTAGACATTTATTCACGTGGCAAGCCCATAGTTAACATGCTAAAATATCGGATGACTGAGGTATTAAATGGATTAGACAATATCCGTCATATCTTTCTTAAACGTTAAAATGGAAAATTAGGACATCGTTTATTATCGTAGCAGTGGTACTAGACTATTTACGCTGTTTACTGTCAAAATTCCAATCGTTCACAACTTCGCTCAGAATATAGTAATTATACTGAAATTTTTAATGTATTCATTGTTCATTATCTATTGTTTAACTAATCTGTGTTAATGGGCCTTACACATTTGATCAATTCACACAGATCAACCAATCGTATATTATATATTACATATTCTGCATTGAACGAGAAAGTTCACCGGGATTTTCCACGTGTTTCCCACTTGTCAGTGGTGTAGGAGATCCCATCTACACATTGGCGTGCACGAAAAGAACCCTAAGTTGTTGGAATTCGAAATAAGAGTAGGCCGTAGCGTCAATGCCCAGGCAACATTTCCTTCATAGCTCACCGTATGCCGTACGCCCGTCTTCATTAGCCAAGTCGATGCAGAAAAGTTGGACGCTAAACCCTATTTCATTTGATGTAATACACTTTAAAGATTGTGGGATTAGCTTGACATTTCAAATGCAAAGGTTTGTTATGGATACGGATTATAATTCTATATGCGATAAAATACACATTTATGTAAACGTATATGGTCAATTTATACAAAATCCGTGTTCTTTCCCACATAAAGTAGATTGCATGTAATATATAGTTTGAATATTGACGACGATCCTAAATTAAGTTTCATAAAAGATACATGTATCATAAGAACTAGCTTCAAAGCATTTACATGTATATACACAGAAATCCCATTTAACCATATCCAAACAATTCTAGATCGAAGAAGTCATCGGAAATAGATCGTATAGATTTAACTCGTCATGTTCCTTCCAAAATAATGATAGTATTTATTCCACTCAAAAGCTAAATTTTATTAAAAATCTACGGAAGGAAAGCATTGAGTACGCAAGTTACTTGTTATTGTCAATCACGACTACTTTTCAATTTGAAGATAATCGACGAACTCCAAAAAGAGCACTGGTAATTGTTAAATGGCAGTTCCAGTTGTTTTCCTTTTAGGTTAAATATGTTCTGGAATAAATATTAACTTAATTAATATTCAAATTGACAACAAAATATATTTTTCTTTTTGTTTCAGATATAAAAGTATAGACAGATCAGGGTATATACAAATGTGTATTCAGTTTGGGAATCACACACTTTATGGCACCACTGGTTATTTGACTTGAATAATATAATGTTGTAGTTATAATTACTATAGAAAACACAATACAATATAGTCTAATGTATACATCTAAGATCCGAGCAACAAAAGTACCAACTAAAGAACAACAGCAAACACATCAAAGAGCAAACTAACAACAGTTCCAGAAGAGGAACCAGATCGGAATAACAGGATGAGTTTGCCTTAAAATACGAGAAGAACGCTATAATAATTAACTCCGAATAATAACATAGAACAACAAGAGTACACATCTGACAGTGACTCGAGGAAAACAATAACAAACACTCGGAACATCTAGATGATAACAAGACTAAACATCTCAGAATAACTATAGGAAACCAAGACTAAACATCTCAGAATACCTATAGGAAACCAAGACTAAACATCTCAGAACTAAACATCTCAGAATAACTATAGGAAACCAAGACTAAACATCTCAGAATACCTATAGGAAACCAAGACTAAACATCTCAGAACTAAACATCTCAGAATAACTATAGGAAACCAAGACTAACACTCAGAATAACTATAGGACAACGAGATTAAACATCTCAGAATAACTGTAGGAAAACAAGAACAAACAACCCAGAACAACTATAGAACCACAAGAACTATCAACTCATAACAACGACAGGACAACAAGAACTGTCAACCCAGAACAACGACAGGACAAGAGAAAAATTCGACGGCAAACCCACTCACAGGAAATAACCCAAAGCTTTTGTGTAAAAAAGTACTTCCGTGCGACAGTTGGTGCGGCACAATACTTTTCCACAAAATGAACTGATGTGTGGCTCCCAGAAAACACAGCAATTGCAACGTTGAAGAAACATTACAGCAACAGAGTCTGACGAAAAAGAAATCCGTTAACATCACGGACAAGACCCAGGACGAACATAACGGTTAATCTTCTACTGTTGTGAAATAGATAAGACATTGAAATGAACAAAAAGCAAGACATGTTCATTGTCGGGTGTATCTGATTTAAGAATTAATTTCATATTGCACGTTGGACTTCCAATAAGCTGTATCTAACATTTGTTTTCAGTTTAAGTTGAGAGCTTGGTATATGAGAGTGTTCTGAAAATGTCAAGCCTAGATTTAATCAATTTTATATTAACGTTTAGGTGGACAGAGGTATTTCCTTTAAGAAGGGCCATGTTCTCCTGTACAGATCCCAGCATAGGGTGTACAACTAAAGATGCCGAACTCCTATCAGATTTTGCATTTTCTGCCCGAGTTCCAGCAGAAGTCATCTACGCCTTAAGTTTTTCAATCCCACCATTTATAGTAAGTATTTAAGGTTATAGATTATTAGCAGGTCATAAATATTTCATCAGTCTCCCACCCCCCCTCCCTCCCTCGCGATTTAACTTTGTAAATCTGCACTCTGTTAGTTATCTTTATGACACAACTGGTTTGAAAACGAATTTTGATATTCCGCTCTTACTATTGACGTCCATTACTATTGGTATTGAAAGAAACAAATTCGGCTATATTTCGGTGTCATCGAAGCAAAGCTTTGTTTACAGTTGTTACAGGGTATCTAATTAATTTGAATTTTGGGGGGTTAAGAATTCATAATTGAATCTACGGGATATGTCTGTAAAAATCTTGCTTAATATCAACAATCATTTACTGCCTGGTAAGTGGCAACCTATCTTTAGATCTTCATACGACACTAGAGGAAGTATAGTTCCATAAATATAATATGTTTTAAATGTCAAACAGAAATAGAAATAACACTACCTGTTTGTAATAAAAATGGTATTTTTTCAGATATTTATGGGTGAAATAGGTTTATATACTTTTACAACTGAACCCCAGAAAACTATTAGAATAATTAGCAAACAATGTGTTATACCACAAGTTGTTAGAAGATTAGTTCGATTTATAGGTAAATATAACAGTGATTATTATAACTTTTTCCATTTCTGAAATCCAGGTTTAAACTATCGCTCCATTTAGGTTTAAGTAGATATACAGATGGTGTGCACGCGGCAAGATATGCTTACTTTCTATAGAACTTCTAACACCTCTTATTATTTGTAATGTTCACATACCTGACAAAGATTTGTAGTCCTTTGTATTTGTATATTGCGATTCTTACTCCCTTGTTTCTAAATCTGTTCTAAAGGAAATCTGTACTGATGATGTGTTTATTATTATGCTTTTAAGGATACATCCAAATTAAAGCACAATCAATAAGAATAAGCAAGTTTCTGGCCAACTTGCCCGCGGCAAGGCTATTCCGATCCTTAAAGCATGTCGACACGCTTCAGTACAGGAGTTATAGAGGTGATTTTATTCAAATTTAACGGGGCTTAGGACACAGGTACGATAAGGGCTGATTTTGAATGAGGAACAAGAGCCCGAGAGGTTGCAAATACTCCAAATACATAAAGCGCATCATTGCGTTGCCTTCACTTATATCAATTCTGAATTTTTCGACCGCAAATAGCAGAGTTATCACCCTTTTTGTCTCTTGGGCAAGAGTTGTAAAAGATAATTTTACTACGTGTGGGTAGATGTATATAATGGTATCTGACAGGTGCCTTTTATGGACTTTAATTGTTGTTTGAAGTCACAGTGAAAGCATTTCTTTCGGTATGTATTTAGACGTTATTTCCTCTGGCCGCCAAATTGTTAGTTTTAGATAAGAAGTTGTTTACAGCTTTATTAGATCTTTCTTCCTCTTCTGTTTAATTGTGTATTACATCAACTGAAGCAACCCGTCTTATTTATACAAAGGCGAGAATCTATTTAAATGACAAGATAACACATATTTTGAAATAAATATGTAAAGCGTTGTTAGATTAAAGATTAAAAAGGTGTTTGAAAAGAAGATTTAATACCGAGTGAAAACCGACACCTTTCAATCCCGGATGAGTTTTTTGCGAATAAACAAAAAAGCAATAAAGTCTACAAAGAGAGAGAGATAGAGAAATGGGGTTTAACGTCCATTTGACCCAAACTAGGTCATTTAGCAGTGGGGGACACCCACGAGGTTGGACAGGCGATCCTACTCCTTATTACCACGACACTTGACTCAATGACATACCTCAGGATTTCTCGCGCACGCATTAAACCACTAGACCACCCAGCCTCCATAAATTCTGTAAGATCAAGTTTTGTCTCTTCCAGTTATAGAGTGTCGTGCTATGTTACATGGGTCATTTTTAGATTAATATCTTGTTTATTTTTTTATACGCCCACATTTTCATGCGGACGTATTATGATTGTATAAAAAATCGCTTGTGGTCCCTCTAGAGGTCACAATTTTTGTCCAATTTAAAAAACCGTTTGAAAATATCCCCATTACATGTATACCCTAATGATGGTTGAGTTCGAATTTCGTAAAAAATCGGACCAAAACAACAAGGATGTGGACCCACTACAAGTCACAATTTTGATCCGATTTTGATGAAACTTTAAATTAGTGTTTATAATCCAACGATCTTGGTTCCTTTCAATATTCGCTTATATCGGATCGTAACTTTCTGAATTATGGCCCATGATTTTACGGTCACAATTTTTATCCGAATTAAAAAAAAACGTCCGAATAATAATATTACAGAAACTACCGGACAAAATGGCCACTCCTAGTACACAAATAGTGACAGAGTGTTTATAATCCAAAGATCTTGGGTCGTGTCGATATTCGCACATATTAGATTATGTACGAAACACAGATCCTATTTTTTTTCGGTTTTTTTATGGTTCAAAATTTCGTTTTACTTGTCTTTACTACACTAGGATCTGGAAGATTTGTTATATAACCCGTGTTCTGATGGTGTTAAGGTTTAGCCAGTGCAATTATATGTTGCGATGAGTTCTTGACTTGCGGTGCACGGAACTGTGGGTAGACATTCGCCGCGAAAACCATAGACATACTAATAATAGTATGTCTGTGGCGAAGACAAAACAAAAGATGTACTTCCAAATACCCACTTGAAACATCAACGCTGATTGGTTAATCAAAATGTCCGACACTACAATTTCTGGTCAGATCTTCATGTAGTGGAGGCCACCGAAAGTATAAAAAACGAAACGAAATATAGATCTGTATTTTAATCAGGTTGGTTTTTGTCAAAATTTCAATTATCCATTATATTTTCAACTTTTTTTTATGAAATCATTTAAATTTTTGATATGATGTGTAGAATATATATACAGATCTATAACAAAACAGCGCTCTTGTCGGTGATTATTTGGACCGTTTTGTCAATATTTCAATTTTATTATGAAATCATTTAAATTTTGGATATATATTTCCTTGTCGGTCATTGTTTTTTTTTTCAATACTTTGGGCGCTATTGACAAAAGAAACACTCTTGTCGGTCATTAGCAGCAACGTTTCCACCTATTTTTCTTATTAAATCTGTTCCAGAGCAAGGAATAATAAATTTGCGCACGTATGGTCTGATTACCACAGGAAACCATGATTTTCCAATTTACAATGAGAGATTACATTTATCATTTGAAAAATATTTAAAAAAAACCACAAAATATTTCAATAAAAAGGTAAACACGTGGATTTAGACAGTGCAATTTTATTACTCCACAATGATCACTGTCCATTTCAGGTGGACAATTAGACATTTTGGGGAAAGTGTACATTTTAGACTGTAAAATTAAACATTTTGGGGACACTGAACGCTTATTTTATACACTATTCCAGTGTGTACCTGGGTGGACCTTATAATAGAAAGGACGGTTTCATACTATTCACTTTAAATGATGTTTACTTTTCTCTTTTCATTATATATGTTATAGAATTTATCTGAATGAAAACAAATTGATTAGAACACTTGTATAACATCTTTTAAAAACAAATATACATCAAAGAAGCTTTTAATTTGCAGGCGTGTTTGTGTTTGGAGGATTCACTTTGATGGTGTTCGTGGACATTGTTAAAATTATGGTGGGCCGGTTACGTCCTGACTTTCTGGAGGTGTGTCAGCTAACCAATAGGTCAATGTGTACTAGTTTGTACCCTGGGGGTGAACCCTACGGTACTCACGATCTTTGTCAAAATACAAATCGATTGCAACTTAGACAAGCTAGGTAAGCTGCGTTTTCTGTTCATATCTATATTTGCTGAAACTGAAATAACATGAAGGTCTCGAGGTGTGCCAACTTACAATAGCTTACAGGCTAGTCTAGACCGTACCCTGGGGGTAAACCCTATAGTACTCAAAACATACAAATCGATTGCAACTTAGACATGTTGTTGAAATAACATCAACACTAAATGGTTTGCACTTTAGCAGTATTTTGTTGACTATTTTGAAGTAGGGAACTGTGTAAAAAAAAAAGAAGAATGCCATAAACCATGCTAATCCGCAGAATTATTGTCTCCGAACGCTATTTGGTGGGAGATCCAGAAATTTTTATCCTGTGTCTGGGAAAACTTAGCACACTATTAATCTAATCGAATGATGACATTGGGTTACCTTTTCTTTAATTAACAAACTACTAAAACAACTACTTGGTATCTGAAAACAATTTTTATGACAAAAATTCATTGGTTTGATAAACACGAGGTTTCGGCAAGTATTCACTTTCGTTATCAAGCAGAATGACATTTAGTAAACTTAGTAAATTTGCCAATAAAAGGGACAATTTAAATACTTCCCGTGATTGTCTGATTATTAGGTTAGCCGTTCATAATTAATCAATGAGTTATAGCCACTGACCACGGAGACAAGCCCAGGAATGGGCGTCTATTACCTTATCGCCTGGCAACCTATTGTTACTAAATTCGTCATAAGACGTTATTGTTTTTCTCTTAAAAAGTTTTAAAAATTCGACAAAAATGTATGGCACTAAGGACGAACTAACATTGGCCAGTTTATTCTTCCTTTATTTTGTTATTTTTATTTCACAAGAGAAAATATTTTACTAAGTTAACCCACTTAAAAAGAAGATTGACAAATAAAGACGGTAGTTTTTCTCTTTTAAGTTAATTCTTTAACTTAGTTTGTACCAGCATTTCAATTAAGCAAATAGGTTTTTTTTTCTATTCGTTGTTTTGTTACTCAGAATAAAAAAGTAATTAATTTATCAATACAAATATACTGAGGTTCTAACTCATTTCTTCAACACGATACATTTACAATTAAAATTGTTTATGAGAACAAAAATAATTTGTGCATTAAAGGAGTTCGCTACTAGAGCCGTGTATGTTTACTGGTTTTAACACAGTTGTAAAATTAAGTACAGGAGAACCACACCACACATAAACATGTTTAGACCTTTCTTGAACACAAGCCCTGATACCACTTCGTATCCTTCATTTTTATCGCGACATGTTGCTAACAGTTTTGGACTGTCTCTTGTTTTGGTTTGAAAAGCTCTATTATTCATAATTTTCAGCAGGCGGTTATTATTATATACTCTTCAAAACAAGTAGGGGATATTGAAATGCAAATACCTATGCAGGTTGTGATATCAAAAATAATCATGGACACTTGACATGCTTTGTGAGTATTTCACAGATGAAGAACTTGTCGCCCCAACAGAACCACTGAGCTGCACATGCGACACGCAATAGCGCCATACACGTGGGAGGGGTTCATTTCAAATTTGACACTGCAAGGAAGGGTTGATGAAAACTGCCGCGTGCTGGTTTATCTATCCATGTTTGCTTTCCTATCGGTTCTTGCATAAGATTTACTGTTTAGCGTATCTTTGCTTTAGTGTGTTACGTTTAATTTGATCGGGAGACGTGTTCGTCGACGTCAGCGTCACCCGACAACACTGCAAGAATTGGCCGTGGCACTGCAAGAGGAGTGGGTCAGATTACCCCAAATCGTGATTGGACGGTTGATTAGAGGCATGCCATATGACGAATTGCTGAATGTCTTAGGATTGGTGGAGCAATTACTCATTATTAAGACCAAAATCAAAAACGTCCATTTTCACTTTTGACGGTGTATCTCTTTGCCAGTGAAATGGGGCCGTCAGATAAGCCGCCCATATGAACTGTTTATGTTCATGTGTAGGCAATTGGCCTGTTATTAACATACACTGGTTACCTCTAATAAAACCAGCAGTGCATTTCCGCAGTTTTGTATTGTTTCAGAATATCTCCTACCTTTTTTTGAAGAGTATATATGTACATTACAATAATTCAGGTTGCAACTAGTTTCCACTTCCTGTAGTGTAAGGTCTCACCTTTAGTGGTGTAAACTGAGTGATGCATACATTTGGATGAGTATTATACTCAAACAGTGTACATGTAATTTTACACTTAAATAGTTTACACCCGTAGGTGCAAATTAAATATTACAACCCAATGCATGATTTTTTTTATAATTTACACTTCCATGTTAATTATTACAAGTAAACTGGTGTATTTTTTTTCATTATTTAGAACACTGCTGACACCTTATTAGGAGACATGTTTCCTTAATAATAATTACACCTGTTGGTGTAAATGCTGTATACACTCGTAGCCGTCGTAGGGTGTTGTTCATCCAAAATATCAATTAGCGGCTACAGTTATACCCATTCTGGTGTTCAGTTGTCATGAATATCAATCACACTTTTGTAACCCCAAAAACGGTGTAAAATTAACACTATTTTGGTATTTATTTCCATATAATGATTAAACCCTTTGGTTTACATGTATAATAACACTCGTAGTGGTGTATCTCATCCACAATTACACCTATTCATGTTGGGTGTAGTTATTTTAGTTCGGTTACTCTTGCAAGATCGTTACATGTTAAAAAAAACTGGTTGTGGTGTAAAATTTACACTTCTTAACACGGCTTATAGTTTTTCTTAATTGCGCCCATTTTAACAGTTTACAGTGTCACATCCTTTGTCATAATTTGTTAACTAATTACAGCTGGGCATGGTTTAAATTAATAGCTTATTAATTACAGATTATAAATGAATTTCAGTACAATTTAAAGATAATTTTTTTTTATTTTCAGAACGTCTTTTCCATCTATGAATTCAGCATTAACATCATACGCTGCTTTCTTTATTGGAGTAAGTAACGTTTTAGTAACATCGGCTGGAAATGACGAAAATGTTGTATAAATATATCAGTCGGGGTGGAAATTTAAAAATCTATTTAGACAACACCAAGACGTATTTCATTAATACACTAATTTACAAAGGGTCTTTTCCACTGGTGCCGGTGCCATTTATAACCAAATTTTTAGGTCCAACTCACCTAAAACCAAGACGTTACAACGCATAATTTTTGAATGGATCATCAAAAGTTTGACCTGACGTGTCAGAGACGAGGGCTACGCCACGCCCGAACTGAAAAGAAGATGGGTCATTGGTACTCATAAACTCCTAATGGTCCTACAGTGACTCCGGTCTTTGATAGATCATCTTCCTCTATACTGACTTGATGACACGGTTGATTTGTTGACCCTCACAGTTCGTGAAATTTCACGCCGAGACATGTCCGAATGATGTTTCAAAGTCAGTATGGTACTGCGCTTCCTCGGTGTGACGCCCATGACGCACCACAACCAAAGTGAGCGAAATATAATAGGCTTGATGGCACATGCAATAGTCAATAGAACTTGATTGCATTATCCAGCTGTGAAACTAACTGCGTATGCGTCTTTCGCCATATTTCTTAATCCAGGCATTTTGAATCAGAATAATTGTATATACATTGCTGATTCTAACACCCGGACACTGCTAGTGCTAACATTCAGAGTTGCGAAAATCAGTGATAAACATGAGTAATGCAGTTAACTCGAACAAGGGTGTTATATAATATAAGTCGACAAATCAAGGTGGTTAATATATAAACATTATATAATTTATCTTACTGTATTTCAGATGTATATACATGGTGCAATGAGAAGTCATACTGTTAGAATAATACGACCGTTTATATCCCTAGTATTTGTTATGTTTTCATTGTTATGTGGGTTGGCAGAAGTGGGATTATGTTTAAGCCACTGGACTGATACCGTGATAGGTTTCTGTATGGGAGTTATCTTAGCTTTGTATTTAGTAAGTATCAAACATACCCGAGGGAAGCAGAACAAGACATTCAAGTGGGATATAGTTGTTGAAGCCAACAGTGCCAAATCGTTCAGGACTGACTGAAACACATACTATACACATCGTTTACCGGGTATTTGTTGGAGACAAAATAATACCAAAAACATGTTTGAAAATGTTGTTTTTGTTTTAATCATCTCCATAGATTGACTATCAGTTTAAAGTCGCAAAGATGTGTTTCGACCGTGTTTCTTTAATGCCATCCACATAAAGTATACAGTTTCCCAATATGGGTAATATGGGTCACAAAGACCTACATAAATTCTGAACAATTAACATGGAAATTATAATATCTTAGCAATACATGTAGTGTCTGAAAGTGTTTGCTGTTGTCGGTGTGATTCCAAAATAATGTCACATGACAAAGTCACAAAAGTATCGGTACATATTACCCACAGACGCTTATAACACCCCTTTCCCCTCCCCCGCTAGTCTACTATATAAATATTACCATCAGATGCTTAATGGAAATTGCCCAGTTTCATCCATCTTCAATAGAAGGCTTGATTTCGCTTTAACTGCGTACATCTTATCAAGGCCTTCGCGTAATACCCTGCATATGTCAGCACTAATTTCGATTGGGTACAAGCCCAACTTGTGAGCCTATCAGATTCCTCGATCGTCGCGAATACCAAGTCTCGCGCTTTTAAGCTAAAATGTCTACCTGTGATAATCGAATTGCAAAGTTTAAGGTTCATTCAATGTCAAGGTTTCCGTGGAGGTCGCGAAGTCACAACCCCTGATTGGACGCTACTGCTCCCGGTCTGTAGATAACATAGCTATAAGTTCGGGAATTGTGAAGTAAACCAGCAACTGCCAGATGTTGTAAAACTCGCAGTCGTTGCTTCAGGAACATTAGTTTCATCTGAACATGGTTGTGTTTTTTACCCCCTAAAACAAAAAAACATAGTTTGCATAACATTGATCTTTTCTGTTTAATTGTGTTTATAACAAATTGAGAGCGTTATTGTTGAGCTAAATAAAAAATGTTCCTACTTTTCCAGGGTTTTGCGGTTTTAAATAATTTCCGGGAACATTTATCTCAAGAAAAACTTATAGAATTATTAAATAATTATGTGGCTGATAGTTATTTTAATTATGATGTAAGTAAATGTATTTTTATTTTAAAAAATCAATGTTTTTTTAACCCATACTGTAAAAATGTATTATGTAAGAGCCAAATATGTCTATTGCGGGTCTTTATTTTGGATTCAAATGTTATATACAATTTTTTTTTTAGACATTTATTGGCACGATAAGCCTATAATCAACTCTATATATCATGGGATTCTCGCTGAGTCTCGATTAACAGAGGGAGCGAGATGTGGGGTTTACCGTCCACTCGACACAAACTAGGTCATTTCGGGACTAACATACGGTTCAATTTTATTTCAATAATTCGCTTGCGCGTAGGGATATTTAGCAATGCGTGGAGGAGGGGCGGAACCCGAGAATCAGGAGAAAACCCATGAAGTTGGACAGGCGACCCTACTCCTTGTCACGTACAACTACAAGGGGAGAGTCGAAACCACGCCACTTGACATAATGACAGACCTTGTGATCTAACGCGCACGCTTCAAACCATTCGCGCCCTCCTCTCTATCGATTAACAAGCACCGTTGCTACGCCACATCTTGGCAAAACTTCAAACAGTGATAATTTCGCTCAGAATAAAGTAATTTGAATGACATTTCAATACATTCATTTTGCATTATCTAATTTGGAACTATTATAGCAAGAACGGTCATCTCTTATCCCAATCTTACATAATGCATCTTTAAAGAGATAAACAAAGACAATATCCAAAATCGAGACCGATTAACTTCAAACGTTCTACAGTACGATAAATAATTCTAAAGCGAAATTTTCATGTAAAAAAAGAAAGAGACACTTTGTTTTTATTCTCAGTGTTATAACCATTTGTAATTCATATAATTAGCTAAAATCCATTAAGACACAAATATGCAGCCTGTGAGACTCCTGTATAAAAAATGATATAAACTATCTTCTCGATAAATACGACTAACAACAGAAGTACTCTGCTTTCAGGATGGCTACAACTGGTTGAAACCAGAGCCTGTGACGTCAATACGTATCCCAAGAGCTCAAGTTTATAGAACATCAAGCGATGAAACTGACGTGAAATACAGACGACCTAGATTAAAACACAGCACATTTCAACATGATCACCACAACTCCATGGACAGATACAGGAGGAATTCTGGTGGAGTTGGAGCCTCGTCTCATATGTGATTTAATACAGACAATAAACATTGGTATTGCTCCGTAGGCTATACATGAGAGTTGTGCCCCTTATTTCTCAGCCAAACTACCATTTGTTAGAGCTTCTGTTGTGATATTAATGGACTAATTCAGCACCTGAATTGTATTCTAGACATTAAAAATCCAAATATGAAATAAACCACCAATGAATTGTGACGTTTCAAGTAATAAGCATTTAAACGATAAAATATTTTGAAGTAAGAAATCTTTGCAACTTTGTGGTATTCAACCCATAGTTTTAATCATGATCTGATTATTATCCTGTTACATTAGTGTAGTGTAAACACCTTTGTTTTATCTAAACAGTGTTCTGTTTATGAACTGAACCATTACGAGCACTATTAGGCAATCTACTATAATATGCGCATTTCTTCGATGCGTATCACAAAAGTATGTATATTTTAAACAATTCCGAAAAGCTATACTATTGGCGGTTAATGTCTCGCGGTTTGCTATTGTAAGGATAAAAACATAAATAACTAATCACTACACGGCTTATTTTTTAGGGGGTGTAGATCTATATTTCGTTTCGTTTTTTTTATACTTCCGATGGCCTCTACTACATGAAGATCTGACCAGTTGTTGTGGGAGGTCTCGTCAGGGGTCATACGAGTGACATTTGGCCCTATGACGTCAGACATTTGATTAACCAACCAGCGTTGCTGTTTCTAGTGGGATACCCACAGTTCTGTGCATTGCACGCCAAGAACTCGCTGCAACAGACCGTGTCATTGGCTAATCCCTCACAACAACCAGAACGCGGGTTATATAACAACTCTTCCAGATCCTAGTGTAGTAAAGACAAGCAAAACGAAATTTTGAACTATAAAAAACCAAATGAAAAAGGATTTGTGTTTTTATGAGACTGTTAGAAAATTGCAATGTAAACCTATAAAAATAATATGTTATATCTCTGTACATACATGTAGTCTTATTATACATGTTATGAAGTACATGTAATATGTATATTTTGCTTATTTGTTTTAGATAACCCAAGAATAAACGTATTATAATATTTCCATTATATTAGACTGGTAGTGTACCCTGCGTTGCACCGGAAGTAGTATTGCTGCGAAATAGTAGAGCAGGTGCCTATGTCACTATCCGGATATAGCCGACTTAACATTTCAAATTTCAGCTTCGGCTACCACCACTGGCGTAGCCACCAATCCCTAACATACGAACAAACATATTATTTACATCACTGAGCAGAAACATGCACATGACTCATTTTCCTATACTAAGAAGCACATTTCGAAATTGTTTTTCATCTAATCAACATCTGATCATACCAATGTTATAGTAAGACTATATGGTGAAACTTTACACACGTATAAGCGCACGAACTATATACACATAATCGCACAGACTTCTTCTTCAGTCTTGTCACGTGTGTTTATTGTGGTTGTTTGGTTTAAATGTGAGATGCTGATATCAAATGTTTTCGTATAGTGCTTGTGTAATTAAATACAGCATTTCCAACAAACACCCACAAAACAAGCAGAGGCATTAGTCGAACGTCTTCTCATCCCAGCTGATCACAATCCGATTAAAACACAGATCTTATTTCGTTTCGTTTTTTTATAGTTCAAATTTTTTACTTGTCTTTACTACACTGGGGTCTGGAAGAGTTGTTAAATAATCCGCGTTCTGGGTGGCGTGAGGGATTAGCAACCTACTGTGGGCAACCTACTAGAAATATCAAATGTCTGACGTCATAGAGTCAAAAGCCGCTTGTATGACCCCTGACGCGACCCCCCCCTCCCCCCAAAAAAAAACAAACAAAAAAAACTACAGCTGGTCAGATCTTCATGTAGTAGAGGCCATCGAAAGTATAAAAAACGAAACGAATTATAGATCTGTATTTTTAAATCAGATTGAGTTGACCAATTATGGTTTTCTTTTCTTACAATTTGTAAACTGTCGTAAATGAGTAACCTGGGCGATTGGATTGCCTAGAGAGTGGTATGCTATATCTTGTTCGCCAATGCAATCGTAATGTAAATTCTGTTCTAAAAAGATGTCACGAAGACTAGACAATCCAATTAGAACTACAATTTCGTTTCGTGTTTTTTCATGACATGATATTCAATATCAATGCCAGGAATGAACTGGACTAAAAGAATCTTCTAGAACACATTCTGTTGAACTCTACCAGATCACGCGTCTGCCATGCACTTGCCAATCAAAAAAAAAGTAAGTTTATTAAACAATATTTTATTGATTAGTAAAAGATGAAAGGGTGGTTATGTGATAGGTGATGGATACATTATTAAAGTTAATATGAAGATAATAATAAAAACATAACAGTTATGAACTAACAAGATAATAATATGATAAAAAGGCACAGTATCGATTTCTTAAAATATACATATTTGTAGCCAAATTTAAAATTCAGATTGTCCTATGATTATGTTAAGCAAAGAGACATAAACCCTCTGGGGACCTTTGTAGGGTGGTACAATTAAAATCATTGATCCCATGTGCCTTATTGTGGATAACGTAAAACAATGCGTGTTTATTTATTATTATGATGACAGAAAAAAGTGTTATTGTAAATAGGGGCAATAACAATAAGGATAAGCTTTATACTAGCGTTTTCCTGATTTTTTGGTATATTTTACGAAAGGCAATCTAAAACGCCGGTGCAATTTCGGTAATGATATTAAAAGTTTTAATGTCATGTTTGGTTTTGCTGGATTGAACAAGATGTTTTAAATATGCTGGGTACTATACAGTGTATATAGACCGAAATAAAACAGGCCTCAATATTTCTATTCACAATATTCATGGCTAGATATCGAAATGAAATTGTGTTTATCACAAGACTTTTCTGCTCCGACCGAGCTAATGAAGACGGTGGCGAGATATTGTTTACACTATTATCATCAAAGTGCCCAGTCGCGGTTGACTGCTGCTAATCCGAATCTTGTTCTTTTCGCGAATTAAAATCTAAATCCGGATACGAAATTCTTTAGATCGAAAATGTTCGTCACTCACAAGTGAAAAACACAACGTCTATTTTTCGTTAAATGGAATCAATATCTCTAAGAAACTTGTTTATTTTGGTTACATGACAAATTAAACTTGCCATGAATGTATGTCTACCTTTGGCCATTTTGTGTTTGACAGCATATCTATAATAAGTCCTCAATTATTGGAAGAACGATTCTATTTCCAGGGATCCACTTAATCATTGATTGTTTGCCATTTTTTTTATAATTTCATAACAGCCATGTTGATTATAATTCAATGGATTAAGTCAACCTTTAAACGGTAATAAATAATTCAAGATAGTCAAGGTAACCATGGTAGCCATGGCGATGTTATGACGTTAGTGCACTATAATTTCTAACTCTCACGAGATTATCGTTATTGAATTTCCGGTTTTCATGTAAACGATATCCAGTGGAAATAGACCGGTTTCCGGTAAAAAAAAAAAAAAAATAAACAGCTTGATGGTAGTGATGATACAAGTTATTGATGGGGGCTATAAATCGAAAAACAATCAAATTGATGCAGTCGATATATAAAATCGAAAACAAAATCTAATACGTTCTAGCCATGAAGCTTCAGTCATAATAACTTTTCATAATCATCTGATGGGATTCTCTGATTAACAATCCTTTGGCATAAGGTCTATTGAACTGCTGTTTGTTGGCAACAGTTATTATGGCAACAAACGCCGCTTTCAGCTGGCTGCAGCATATGCAGAAAAACGACAGCACCAAGTCCATTAAAGGAAATGCCAGATGGCGGCAACCAATCAACATGATCGTCTTATCAACCCGTATCTAGACAATTACCAAGTGGTCTGCAAATATAAATTATTATTTTTTATAATCCTATTTGACATAACATGTCTGTTATAACAATTTATAGAGAGACATAAAATCACAGTTGATCTGAGTTAAAATGAAGATAAGATTCAGTAGAAGTACAAAACGAATATTGTCCTCTTGACTTAAACTTATGCTGTCCAATTAAACATGCATGATATAAAAGCACCGAAAATAAATAACACCACAATTATTTAATACATGACTTTCTGCTTTAAAGAATATGAGCCACGGTGGAAAAGTGGATAAAGCCTGGGTCGCTAGCTTGGAGGTCGGGGGTCCGCTCACAGTGTTCGTCAAGAAGGTTCATCGGGATTTTCCGAAGTGGTTTTCCCTTGTTATAGGTGCAAGACGGAGGGCCTAGCAAGGGACAACGCATAGTCGTTAGGATGGGACATTGGTGTGCACGTAAGAGGTGCCTTGGCAGTTGGAATTCGACATAAGAGTAGGCCGCGCGCTGCGGTCAAGGTAAAATTTCCCGCATAGCACACTGTATGGCGTATGCCCGTCTCCATTAGCCCAGTCGGAACCGAACAGTAGGGTGTTAAACCCCATTTTATTTCATTTCATTTCATAACAATGGACGAATTGATTAATTCACTAACTCTTCATACATGACGTGATTACTCACCGAAGTTCCATTCTGCTAACAGAAAAGAGTCTGAGTAAATAATCTCGACCTTGTTGGGGTTGGTGTGTGCTAGGGACCAACAGGTACACCCCAGGATCAAGGAAGAATCTGCCTGCTGTCTCCCGATATTCAGCATACGTCTCTTCATTTTCTGGCATAAGAGGGTCTGATCTTTGGAAGAACTCGTTACATAACTTACCACTAGGTATATGTTGAAGCTATTAGAACAAGAAAGCGACAACACGTTTATAAAGTTATCTTTGGAGAGATTAAAATTACATAAATTTATCATGACATTAGAAATAGGATCCGAACACTAAAACAAGATACATGTATGTATTATGTGCTTTAATATTCCTGCATTTTCCTGGAAAAGTAAACCTCAATGGTGTTTGTTAAACTGATCAGCAATAAATATTCGCTTGGCCACTATTATCACGGAAAGGAATGACCTCAGTGCGAGTTAAGCTCTGAATTTTAACTTTTTCAAATTAAATTCTAAAACATTTTTTTTTAAATTATTAAGAAAAAAAAGAAAGATGTTGAAAGTGTATCTGGATAAAAAAAATATTTCCTATTTGGTTAAATGGGTGCAAAAAATAGGAGGCGGGGGTGTAAAATGAGTAAGAGGGTTCAATTCTGTCCGGACCAATGTAAAATAACACGACATGTGCTATCGACGCTAAATGATGTGAGAGAGAGAGAGAGAGAGAGAGAGAGAGAGAGAAATGGGGTTTAACGTCCACTCGACACAAAGTAGGTCATTTCGGGACTAACATATGGTTTTTAATTTTATTTCAATAATTCGCTTGTGCATAGGGGTCTTTAGCAGTGGGAGGAAACCGGAGGACCCGGAGAAAACCCACGAGGATGGACAGGCGACCCTACTCCTTGTCACGTACAACCGGGGATTCGAAACCACGCCAGTCGACTCAATGACAGACTTTATGATACAGCGCGCGCACGCTAACCATTCAGCCACCCCCCCCCCCTAAATGATGTGACGTCACATCACATACATGGCTACCAATGAGTAAAAGAAATCATTTCGGTTGTGCTGCTCCAAAAACAACAAAACATGATGCCTCACCTGAAATATTTCGAAACCTATGGCGTATAATTCTTTACCATCTACTATTTCCTGCCTTCTGTAAACTTGTTGTAAAGCTACTGCTAAAGGTAACCTACCATTATATCGTCTCTGTACACTAACTAAAACATTATAAATATACACACTATGTACACAAATATTTCAAATATTCACATTATGTACACAAACATTTCAAATATACACACTATGCACACCAACTAAACATTTCAAATATACACACTATGTACACAGACATTTCGAGTATACACACAATGTACATTAACTTGAACATTTCAAATATACACACCATGTTCACAAATTAAAACATTTCAAATATTCACACTATGTACACTAACGAAAACATTTCAATTATACACACTATGCACACAAAAATATATAGATTTTATTTAGAATGAGGATGTGAATTGTCTTTTACAAAATACTATGCATCTATCCGCAATCAATCCTGGAATCTTTGTGGAACAAGTAATATTTGTAATTCAGATAATATTTTATGTGTTGGTAAATCAATATTTAATATCGGTATATAGCTTTGATCAAGTTTTTAAGCAAATATTTAGAAACAAGAGACTTTAGGATATACTTCTAATAATATCTTTATACAGATTATGATTTATAGGTGTGTGTCACATTACCTCTCTGTGTTTATTGGCCTACTTCCGATCGAATAGAGCAACATGATGAGTTTTAATATGGATTTTGACATAAACTTGAATTGACATCAAATATCATTGGCGTGTAATGGCACGAAAAACCGGTGTCCTGTTTACACCTTGGCATGCACGTAAAAGAACCCTTGTCAGTTGGAATTCCCTCGTGGCACACGGTACACCACTACATGGCATGTGCTCGTCTTTATTATCTCGGTTGGATATTAAACATCATTCATACATAAAATATTATGTTGAATTTGAATGCGGTAACGTTTCAATCGAGAGTTTTCAATGAATTAAAGAATGATTACTTGTACTTACTATCTGCATATAAGGTAAGTATGTATTGGGGATTTTTATAAAACGTATCACACTCCAGCCACCCCCCAGCATTTATGTTTACAACCCATCTTCCCTTTTGATTTATTTCATATTCTGGAAAATAAAGAGAATATATATTATTAATGTTAATAATATGGAGCGCACAGTGTATATTCATTTTTCCTACATTCATCGAAATAACGTGGAAAAAACAAAGGTGTGAATCATTGGTACTGTTTTGGTCTCACTACACATGTATGCATCTAAATGAGTACAACGATTATCTAAGAGCATTTGATTTTATCAAATTCTCGATTAATCGCTGGTGTGTCTCCATCCCGAACCCTGCCCTACTCGAATTCCTGAACACGCCCCTGCGTAAATGGGAACTAGGTTATCCATACCACCCGAACGACATCCTGCATCAACAACTCGTATCACACTTATATGTACTTAGTCTTTTAGGTATGATTGAACCGGGTAATTCCCCCGATATTCTTGTTTCAATGAAATAAAGCTGTACCTGTTTTATCACTGATACCATCATGGTCGAAATCTGGTGTCAGATTACATATTATCATATTACAATATTCTTTACGAAAATCATTATAGCTCATCCAAAATTCACCATCATCTTGTGACGTTACTTCAAGTTCTAATTTGATCAGTTCTGGAACACGGTTCCATTCCTCGCTCCTGTAATAAAAGACATTTCATAAATAGCTTGGTGGTTTTACAAGTTACTTATTATGCATCTTCCAATATGGAAAAGAAGGCGAGTTTCATTTGTTCGTTTAACCGTCTACTGAATTCAGAAGTTTTCTCGTTCTTTTCCAATACACCAGCAGATAAACCAGAAAAGAAGAAATAACTGCAGATAATAACGTGTTGGAGAGAAACGCATACTCGTTTGATTAGACCAAATCTCGGAAAGGATTTTCCGGCCATTGCCCAGGAGAAATGTTTTTTAACGTTCACTCGACACAAACTAAGTCATTTCGTTTGCCCCGTAAGGGTGTTTAGCAGTGGGAAGAAACCGATGAGACTAAGAAAACCCAAGAGGTTGGGCAGGCGATCCTACTCCTTGTCACGCAAAGGTATAGAATCGAACCACAGCACTTGACTATCAGAGATCATATGATCTAACCTCCTACCCCCATAACCTCCCCATCCTCTGTTGGATTGGGACTGTTTTATTTTGCATATCAGCATTCCTATACACATTCTGCGATTTCCGACCTGTTGGATTTTGGAGTGGCGCATTCTGCGGTCAAAAGGATTAGCCCAGAAAGGAGTTATTTAAGACTCGACAATCCACGCCTGATGATACCTATTGCCAACAAATCAATAAAACTATACGAGGATTGAATTGCGAATCTTTAACATTTGAAAATTTTGTTATAATTTAGGAAAAATGACTGTATATGTTATTTGATAGTTTAGATATAATAAATGATAACTAGATAATAAAATTCAAACTACCAGCCATAGTTTAATTTACTGATGGTGGCATTAGAGGTATCCATTACCTGATATTAAAATGTTTATAAAAATCGAAACCAATTTCAATATGAGTTGCGTGTATCTAAATGATTTCTACAAGAATTGATGTTAAATTTGTTTTTTGAATGATATAGCATATTATTGACAATAATCAATAGTTATATAACGTAATGATTTATTGGTTTTTAATTTGTTATCACTAGATCGGGTCAATATATAACCTTATCGATTATCATTTTTATTTGAATACACGTGCAGATAATAGATTGCGAAAGAACCGGTTAATCAACACGAAATAATTACAACGTGAAGGTCAAAGTTCGGGCGTTCCTATTGTGTAATAAACTAACTTTAATTAAAAACAAAAACACGGCAAAGGTGGTTGAAAACCCTTCACGGTATTCACATTAACAATACGGTTAATCCTAGTAATTACTTCTTTAAGACAGAAACACGAGAATTCCATAAGCGGCCATTGTTATACCTACTCGTGGACTGTGTTCGTTATCGAATAGAACAGTCAAGCAACCAATTCTCATTTCCTTCTGCTCTAGTATTAGTAATTAATAATCAATGGAGGTTTCGTATCCATTGTAACATTATTCATACTTTAAAAGAAACTCACTCGATAATAAATTTTACGAGTAGAAATAATGTGGGACAGAAAAAGTATATGATGACTACGCACGCCACAATATGACCTATGTATACATGGTTTTTCAGGCCGGATGTTGATTTGGTTTGTTATATTAAGGCCGAGATAAGCATAGATAAATCTCGGTTAAAACGACCCGTTACAAATATTTCACCGAGGTTACTTTCTACTGAGTTCACAGACTTAAAGTACCTAAGTCTCTAACTCAGTATAATCCAAAACCTTCGACATTGAAAACACGAACTATTTGTCAATTTTAATCAACATTGGTGTTGTGGTCTTACCGGAAAAAGATGGGCTTCTGATATCCAATATTTAAGACAAAATAAACTTTTTACGATTGGTACACGAATCGTGTACCATAATGCGTAACAAGCGACCCGAGGAACAAGGTTAGGCATACATGTATTTCACAAGTCATGTCAAACGGTGACCCCCATATTCTTATCTGGAGAGCATGCGCAATAAATACTATCGGTGTAGACTGGAATAACCAGTCGCTAGAGATTGCCATTCGATTGAGACTTCGAACATAACTGCTTTGAAATTAGAGTAAAAACGGAAAAAATTGAATGTAAATCAGTTTATTTACATTCATATTACATTATTATATACGTTGCGACCCATTTGTGTCAATTTGTAGGTCCAATATATTAGCGATTTAGCTCCTTTAAATGTAGTGCAAGCAACAGAGTCTTGTCGTCTTCAGTAGTCCTGCGTAAAAGTTGGTGTGCATGTAAAAGAAAACCTGAGAGATGGAATTGGAAAAAGAGTAAACGGAAACGTTACTGTCCTGACAGAATGTCCTCCATAGCAAACAACATGACGTACTGACTCGGTTGGTGCAGGTACTTAAACCTTCATTTCATATCACATCATTTCATTTCATATCACATCATTTCACATTAGTTCCATTCAGAACCAGTTTTGGTTTTGTAGGCTCTTGTGCCATAGGTATTGTAAGACCCTTAGTATTGATTATTGGCTCTATACAGTTAACTAATCGATATGTCTATGTTATCGAAAGACAGATATTTATGAATCTAGGAAATTTAGCCACCTCCTTGACACATGGTAAACAGTATTGTTTACTGTAAATATATACATTAGGCAGTATATTAATTGAACCCATTGTTAAATAAATAATTCAGACCAGTTATAGCCTATGATCTAGCATTGACAAATGAAATAACCTTCCACTTAATCTCCTGGGACCCACCAGCTTGTGGAGGCTACAATCCCTGAAGCCCATACCTTAATCAGGTTCTGGTGTCGTTCATGTCATTTATTCTAAAATCTCTGATGGAAGTTATTATTTATTTGGAACGCCCAAATAGTTTGTCATTTTTTGCGAATCGACCGATGTGTCCACTACTAGCATTTCCCATAAGTTACATTAGATTCTCTTGTTTTAATATTCATTTTCAAAACGTCAATTCGATCTGTTTATGAGCAGGGACGTAACTTGCACGGGGAAGTGCGTGCTTAATCTTACCAAAACACATAATATTACATATTCTGGCGATTCACAAACAAACCAATATTATTGTACGTTTCTATATGCATGCAGAATATTTGTCGTGATGGAGTTGTTACTTATTCAGTAAACACATAAAACGTCGTTATTTTCCGTAACATAACGTAAGTTTAAAATAACTTCTATTTCAGAGTTGGATGTACTTGTAAAACTCACTTTATTGACATATGTTTCCGAGACATTGGGAAACCGGAACAAAGCACCATACAACGTAAACACAAAACAATTGTTTCAGTTCGAAATGTATACTTTATTCCTTTCAAGGGTATTTATGGTATTATGAAGAACTATTTATTGTTTAAGGGTTTTCGGTGTACGGAAAGTTGAAAGAATTGTTGTTATTAGTAAAATCAATGATATTTTGCTTTGACAAGATATTGGAGTCAGAAATAGTATAGAGTCGCTAACCCAGAGTTCCCATGTTCGATCCCGCTGTTGGCCGAAAAAGTTCATCTAGATTTTCCGACATGGTCCTCCTTGTCAGTTGGTATTCGATATAGGGGTAGGCCATAGTGCCGCTGTCTTGGGCATCATTTCCTTTATAGCCCAATGTATGGTGTATGCCCGTCGTTATTTGACCCGTCGGTGCAGAACAGTAGGACTTTGAAGTACATGTCGTTTCTAAATACAAGATGGTTGCCGCGTCAATAACAGGATTTGAACCACAATAGATGTGATGCCGGTGACATTTTATCTTTTGGGTTACTTTTGTTTCTATGAATATGGATTGTGGTATAAACGTCTTCGTGAAAGATAATATCTCGAGGACGTTTAATTTTGAAAAAGTAACTTACCCATCACACCAAGCACCTTCCCATTCTGTCTGACCCCATGGGTTTCTTACTCTTATCAATTTAGCTGCTGTATCACTGTAGGGAATCTCTTCAATACCAGTTATAACATAAGAATGGTTGGAAATCATACCCTTTCTATTGTATTCTGACTGTTCTTCTTTATCCTAGATACAATAAAATAAACAAATAGAGAATTAGAGTCTGTAATTCATGGGGCTGTGTAATTGGAGTCTCCTAATCTAGACATAGAAATGACGAGCGTCGTGCACGAGAGAGCATGAAGCCCCCCCCCCCTCCCCTTCTATTACCGAATGTACGAATGCATGTTTATGGGCCTGAAATATCATAATACACGTCCACTTTCATCTCAATCATTTATTTTCATTGGTTCCGTTAGTAAACATATTTTATTATTATACGAACTGCTCCACCCATGTTACTTACAATGCTCAAACAGCCAATAACAGCTCCACAGAGAAAGGCTGCCCGTATTAAGTAGAATTCAGAGTCTTTTAATTCGGCAGGATTATACCATTCAGCTAGTCCACCTGTTAGATCCGTAAAGGCATCAGCCTCAAACCCGTACTCCAAAGACTCGTATGATTTATTTAGTCTGAAAAGAAAATATATTCTCCAATGATTCGTAAGATTGATTTAGTCTGAAAGAAAATAGTGCCGAATGCTACATGCACATAGTGAATATGCATGGAGTACAGATGCTATGTTTTCGGTGATTTGAATGATGATTGCCGTCGAGCTAGAGAACAAAGGGTTTGGCATTGCCACAGAACGTTGTAGCTTCCTCGCAGTATTCTAATATTTTTCTACAGTAATACTACATATTTTACGAACATATTTGTTAAGTAGTTATATAAACAATAAAATCAACGCTTACTTTGCATATGCCTTTTCTACCAGAGATACCCAGAATTCATTCGGATCCGAGGAATGTGCGAAAAGAATTTCACCATCAACTGTTGGTAATCTATCGTCTATATATACATCAACCCAATCGCCGAACTGCCAAAACCTACAGTGAAATTTACCATCATACCGACGAGTACCGAATGTATTATCATCAGGGATAATCTGTAAAACGAAAAAAAAAAAAAAAAAAAAAAAAACACTTGGTAATAAGTTATGATCACTGCGGATCGCGGTATTCATATTTATTAAAGATGTATTATGTAAAAGCTACATCTGCCTATTGTAGATCTTTCTTTTGGTCTCAGCCCTACCTATATTATTAATTATACTTTAGTTCAAATGACAAACTCACCAACTCTCTTGCAGGGGCGGATCCAGGAATTTTGCAGGAGGGGATTTGCCAGGTCCCTGAGACAACGTATCCCCCCCTCCCGCATTGCCTCTATCGTCATTTTGGCGTATATACATACACATTGAGCTTTTTAAACAGAGAAATTCAACACCTCGTTTGACGTCAATTTTTAATTATGAATTAATTGTGATTTAATTTCATGGATGCAAAGCATCAATTGTGATATCACATAATGTCTATATCATTATCTCGTGCTTTGAGTGCCCATCCTGTCCCACATCTGACGATAAAGTATAAAGCACACGGCCGAGAAACTTTTTCATACAAAGTGTTGATTTACAAAAAAAGCCCCTGTCTTGACTATCGGGTGGTTGTGATTTTGAATGGATAATGGCCGAGATATATAGGTTTTTTACAAGTTGAATTGGTTTTCATCGAGTTTAACGAACACGGTGAAACGTTCCTTACTCTAATTAGGACAGTGATTGGATTTTCTAAAGTTATTTTGGATAACAAAATCATTTCATTTATATTCTTGGCGAAGACAAGTTGAACCTTAAGATTTAACAATAAAATGATTCAATGACCGACAGATGACTAATTAATGAATGACATTTTCATGCAATTAATAAAATATTACAAAATATTTAAACAGACATTATGCAAGAGCTAAATCTGCCAATTGCAGGTCTTTCTGTAGGCCTGAAAGGTTATCTAAATTGTTAGACATTAATTAATAACTTATCTAGACCATAATCAACTCTCGATGGCATCGCTAGCCTGCGATATTTACTGGATTAGAGTCCGGTCTGCTGCTTCTGATTTAATCAAAAAGTGGATAATCAAGACTATGTTTTTATCCTACCGACTTTAGTAATGATGATCGAGGCTAGACCCAAAATTCAATCGCTAAATATTCGGTTCAGCGTTGATCATTTTGACTGAAATTTTCAGCAAATTTCCTTTACATTATCTAGTTTTTAACTATTATAGTGAGAGCTACCAGCTCTTTATCTAATCTCCCATAATGTATCTTTAATGTATGCGTGTTAAACTTCAGTCCCGTTCAGTAGTCTGATTCCAGATTATCATTGCACTAAAGAACATCCAAATTTACCTCTTGTCAGCAAAATCTGTTTTGATTCACAGTTAATCGATTTTTATATGCATATATCGAGTTTCTACATGTATGGTAGGTACCTTAGTATTGATGTATCTTTGTGGGATAAACAAAGTTTGTTTTCTTAACAAAAATAACAAAAACTGAAGTAGAATGTTGAAGTACGTTATACAGTATAAACTAATGTTTAAACTAATGCATTCTGCTATGGATGACTTACGCTTTATGTCATTTAATAATGCAGATAAAAAGCGCATCATGCAATGATTTTATTGATCGCAGTTTACATGAAAACTGAACATTTTCCCCATAACCTTATTTAATATTTATAAGATGTATAGCTGGGTATTCAATCGTCAGTATTTGTTTAGAGATTCATTGTATCCCTATTATATAAAGCAGTAAATGTCTCACCAGAGAATACTTTCATACAAACAAACATTTGGGGAGAAAAGGAAAAATGAAGTGAATTATATCAATAATTTATGATGTTTATATATTTGTGGTTAGATTTTCTTCTATTTTTGTCAACAATTAAAGAATGCAAATAAGTCGTTCAGAGAGAGAGAGAGAGGGGGGGGGGGAAGAGGGAGAGAGAGAGTGGGTAGTTAAAGTTCACTCGACACAAACTAAGTCACACTGGGACTAACAGCTGTGGGCGAAACCCGCCAAGGTTCACATGGTAGGAGGGGCGACATACAAGCGGGGAATCGAAACCACGCCACTTCATTCAATGACAGGCCATAATGTGACCAAACGCGCACGCGTTACACCATTCGACCACCCAACCCCTCTCGTCTGGAAGAGCCTCAAATAGTCCTTATTATACCACATGTAGATTAAATATCCTTATATTAGTCTTAAGGGCGAAGTGGATTCAAACTATATAAATTTGTTCTGTTTAGCCGCAGTAACTAAGGAACTATAGGTAAACACTTGTATACGTAACAAAGTGATCAGAGAAACACCTGCAGGTGTCAGTGGTTTTGTATGAATTAGCTTTGCGAGCTAGCTATGATTTGCTATCTCCTTTATACGTAACCACTTTCTGGCAGCATTTCATATTACCATTACTATACTAAACATGTAGAAATAGCCTGAATTAATAGTATTCCTATACCTTTGCCATTAGTTGTGGTTTTTCAGCAATGGCCGATAGCGTTGATAAGAACCAACAGTCATTTAAATCGCCTTGTGTCATGTCATGACGACTTGTACCATCTGATATTAAAGTTGGTCTGGAAACAATTTCCTATAAATAGATAATTTTATCCTACAGATAACTCCATTAATAATAGACCATGTTAATTATTTAAATAGTTTTGCCAGTCCTATAATATAGAGTAATGGATGAAAATACATTAATACATATCGATGCCTATGGATTATGCTGTTTTCATGTCAATTAAAAACCGCATCTGATCAATGGAGATTGGGTACTCACAAACATAGACCTGGACCGAACAATTATAGGTTGGAAAGTGGGGCTTTTGGACAACAGGGGGTAATATTGAATTAATTAGTTTTGTCACCATATTCAGTTTCACTTTTCAGACTTACTTGAACTGTCGGGCTATTCGCATGAGGAACGTATTCGAAATTCATAGTCCATTCGCAGAGTTACTTCCCCTGTCATCGAACCCTTGTTAATACATTTCAGTGCTTTGATAATATATTTTCCAAACTGACTGTGCTTGTTTGACGAATCCTATGGGGACATCTTATTAAAATTTATCTTATGGAATAGTTCACAGAAACCCTATTCGTCCCCGATCGAAACTAGAAACGCATCGTAATCAGAACGATGTGACAAAGCAATTATACCAGAAAGTCAAAACAGTCATGCGATATGGGACTGTTTCTATATCAAACCAATCGCCCTACTGTGCAGAATATGGATTCCATAACAACTTAATGTTTAGTTAATTGACCTCAACAAACAAACAACCACCAGCGTCAAAGAGAAATCGCACGTGGATGTTATATTAGATGTGTGTAAAGCAAACAACGTTATATAAATGATGCCTTTGGGTCTTTCAAGTTTCTTATTTATTTTAATTATCGGGGTATCGATTATTACCTTGATATTAGCCCAACAATTGATTCTCTTTTCATAAAATAAAGAAATCTATTTAAACGAAATGGGATATTATACAGGATGTCATCATGGTGGATACCAAATATTTGTCCAGTTTTTGTTGAATCATTAGTATCCCAAGTGCTTTATAAGAGCAATACCATTTGCTTTGGGGACGACTTTACAAAGTTTATTTGTAATTAACGCCCATTCCACACTAATGAAATTATAGATATTCTAGACGTAACAAACTTGCATCTATGACAATATAGTCCAATCATAAGGGGTTGTATTTTTGTTACAAAAATAGGCATTTTTAATGATTTTTTACTATGGATTTACTGCATTACAAGCAGATCGATTTATATAAAATATTAAGAAAATATTTAATTTAATTTAATACTAATGATAAATTATGAAAAGAATGTCAATAATTAAAAAAAATTACCACGGGTCTCTTCCAAACAATTTTTTTATCTGAAATTTTCTTTTTGTAAATGGAAGACAGTTCAGCAGGAAAATCTGGGTCGATGTACAATCCGTCGAGCGATTTGTGAGATTTTGGTGCCTGAAATGAATAAAAAATAGAAAAAATATAAGGATACAGGAAAGAAAAAAATGGTACCGCTATGTGTATGTGCAAAAAACGTTATATGAAAGCAATAAAGTACAGCAATTGCAGAAAAATGGTACCGCGACATAAAGTGCGTACAAAATAAAATAATGTATCGAAATCTAAGAAACATGATACACGTCTGTGCAAATGCACGTTACATGAAACTAAATAAAGTACAGAAGTTAAAATAAAACCCAATGTTATTTAAAAATGCGTTATGCAAGAGCAAAATCTGCTTATTACAAGTCTTTCTTTAGGCCTGAAATGTTATCTAAATTATCAATTAGACATTAATTAACTTATCCAGACCATAATAAACTCTCGATGTCAAGGCCAGCCTTCGATGTTGGCTGGATTAGATTCCTATATGCCGCTAACGGCTATTGATAATTAAATCAATAAAAGTGGATAATCGAGACTATGCTGTTTATATTAATGATTTTAGTAATGATGACCGAGACTATGCAAAAATTTCACCCGCTTCTTTCTCGGCTCATAGTGGATCAATTTGACTGAAATTTTCAGCAAATTACCTTTACACTATCTAGTTTTTAACTATTATAGCAAGAACTGCCATCTCTTTATCTTATCTCCCATAATGTATCTTTAATAATAACAATGCACAGGAATAAAAGAATACTGTTACACACAAAAAATAACGTTACATAATAATATCAAGGAAGGGCGGGAGATAAACAGATAGTAGATATAGTGTTTAACGTCCTGTTGTTCTGCCTCCGACTGGGCTAATGGAGACGGGCATACGCCATACAGTATGCAATGAGGGAAATTTTGCCCGGGCAGCGGCACTATGGCCTACTCTTATATCGAATACCAAATGCCAAGGGATCTTTTACGTGCACGCGAATGCATACACGGGACCTCGGTTTTCGTCCCACCCGAACGAATAGACAGTTGTCTTTGTCAGGCCCTCCGTCCTGCACCACTGACAAGGGGAAGCCATGTCGGAAAATCCCGATGAACTTTCTGGCCAATGCAGGGATCGAACATACGACCTCCAGGCTAGCAAGCCAGCGTCTTACTCACTTAGACACCGTGGATCACAAGTAGCGTTATCACAACACTGGGAAACAGCGAGGGATAAAAAGATAGCAAAAAATAACGTTACATAAGAACACCGGGTAACGACGGGAGAGAAAAGGGCAACATAAAATAAAGTTACATAAAGAGATCCGGTAAAGACGGGACACGCATAGCAAAAATTATAACGTTATATAAGTACATCAGATAAAGGCAGGAGATAAACAGAACTCAAAACTACCGTTACTTGATAAATTTGATGAAAAATTCTAAAGAGAAATCGACCAAAGAATGTTATTAATACGCATTTTAGAACAAAAACAAAATACTCATAACTACAAATGAATGGAAGGAAATTAATTTACACTTTGATACATTCATGGTTTAACTCCAAACACATCGTAAATATATAAATTATATATAAGTCTATCTCGTGTATATAACACTGACCTAATTACTCATAACTTCCTGCTTTAATGCTAGTAATATATAATAAGAAAGAATGGATTTTGTCCCAAGGGAAATTATCTAAAAATTGACGAGAATATACATGTAATACCATCGTTTACAGTGGTTCTAAAAGTGTATGTATATTTAAATTTAACATTTCAAGTGGATATTCTAATCATCCACATAAAGGTGTATTATGTAAGATTGAGATAAAGACATGGTCATTTGCATTATTTTAGTTTAAAAATATATTTAATGAAAAATGATTGTATTAAAAATTTCAATCGGATATCTTTATTTGTTTCAGGTTTTGACATGACAGTCTCTGTTGTCAAGTACCATCGCTTCCATAATAAACAAAGTCTCGATTATCCACTTTAACCTTCAAATATTAAATGGCGCGGTATTCTAATCCATTCAATAACATGGCCTACAATAGTCTAGAGAGTTGATTATGGACTTCTCATGTGAATAAATATCTAACTAATCAATTATATAATAGGCAGATTTAGCTCTTGCATGGAGCATCTTTTATTAACAATAACTGCAGTTGCCTCTATAAATTATCGGTAAATTATCGCAGATAAATTATCCACATCCGACAAATCTATTTAGTTTTGGAAATCATATATTATTACAGAAAGTACGATGAAACGTCATCAACAGAAAATCACAGAGTGCAAGATATACTAATCCGAAAAATTGATAAGGCCATAGAGCCACAGTAAATTTAAAGTTCTTATGTGATATTTTTAATCTCGAAAATGGTGAATGCCTTTGTTTATCGAGTATTTTTTTGTGTGCATAGCCCGTTTTCCATTACATTTGCATAAGACCGACTTTTCACCGGCGGAAACGGCACCGAAACGCAGCAAAGACGTTTACATGGAAAACGGACCTAGAGTATTTTTTGTTAAATGCCATGAAGTGAATGTGGTATACAATGAACAAATCGTCTCAAGGTAACGACAAGTGACATACGGTCAGAAGGCCTATAATAAACAACACATTTTAATTAGATTCAAATTCTAATTAGCCGTATGGATGTCTTGCATTGCATTGGGATCTTTGCTAATACACATGCCTGTCAATCTTGACTAACCTTGACTTGCGGTAGCTTATTTGTGTTTGAAAATATCATAAATGGAATGGTAATTGCCTTGATTGTAATTGATATGGTTTTAATGACCGAGAGGGAATCAATTTAATTCGTTGATATCCGCAGAATTTACAGTAAATATTCAAATACGACAACAATATTGATTAATCTTCGGTTTTCAATAAAACCCACCTGTCAATGGCGATTGAACGAATGGTTGATTAGAATTGATTCTTTCATTGTGTAAAACGTTGCGTTAGACCTATGTTCTCAACTAACAAGGCAGTGCAAACCATATTCTTGAAAAAATGACATGATAATTAGGAATGCCTCCATAGATCGGGAAGGGGTTTGCATGTGGTTATAATTTATCGTTGAATCAATTTTCGTGGTTAGCCGTGTGAGTCACGGTGACACGGTATTAAGGCACTGGCTCACTAACCAAAATGTCGGGGTCGTTATCAGGCTCATCCACATTACCGTCACGGGGCATATATGCCATATTACATATTATCTAGTTTCTAACTGCGAATCTTTGTACCTGTACGCCTGGGGCCGTGGTGGTTCAGTGAGTAAGAAGTTGGGTTGCTAACCCGGAGGTCCCGTGTTCGATCCCGGTGTTGGTCGAGAAAGTTCACCAGGATTTTCCTGCGTGCACGTATTTCATTGCTCGGGAAATGAGCTTGATTAGCAATGTCACTTTAATATGAATTTAACGACTCTTGAGTCCAAAAAGACTTGCTGTGAATATTGTCATGGCAATTAAATATACATAATGTGTTGGTCATAATAATGGTTATTACCATCTCGATCACTTTTATTGTCTCCAAATGATTAATATTATTTATCTTTTATTGATCTTTGTTACCATGACAATTGATGACGTCAATAGCCTTGTTACCGGTGATCAAAGTATAGACGCAGTCGTGATTGATTCCTGTTCATTAGCTGCGATGTACAATAGCGGGAATCGAAATTGTATAACTACACACAGTCACACAATCTAGAAATAATGAATTCGTTTGTTGTTGTTTTTCCTTTAAAATATTTTTAATTACTATCTAGTTAAAAGACTTCCGTCTTCTGACTGAATGTATAGCTTTTATAGGCATTATCAAACTGATCCCGCAGTGAATATTCGCTTGGCCGCTACAATCACTGATAAGCATGACATCGACGAGGCTTAATGAGTTCGGCATATTAACTTTTTTACTCCCACAAATTAAATTCTCAAACATTTTTTTGAAGTATAAGAAAAATAAATAAAGACGTTTGAAGTATTTGTAGTTTAAAAAATATTTCCTATTTAGTGTAAATGGGTATTAAAAGGAGTAAAATGCATCATTTTGCCCGAAGCAGTTAGGTGTTATGTAAACAATGCACGAGCCGTTGAGCCAATGACTGACGCCGCGTGAAGTCAATGCACGTGTTCTAGACAGTCATCTGTGACAGAGATAATTCGTAAGTAATTCTCTGTGAAACAGATTGGGCATTTATAGGCAGTAACCTAAATATAGAAGACATTGTCTCATTGTCTCCTCCATTTTTTTTTAGTATATATGTGTCTCAGTACAATTTACATCAAAAAGAAACAAACATAGTTTGAAACAATGCCCGAAAAAAGATGTTCTAGAATATTGGACAACTTATTTCAAAAATTATTTATTGATAATAGCAGTTATTATAGTTACCTTTAGTACTGATATTAGGGGTCTGGAACATTTATTAGGGAGCCGCGGTGGCTCAGTGAGTAACAATCTGACTCCCTTGCCAGAAGGTCTCTGGTACGTTCCCTTTGTTAGCTGAGAATGTTCCTGGGGATTTTCCGGCGTGGTTTGCCTTTGGTTCAGGGGGGATTGCCTGACAAGGACAGCTCTCTAGTCGTTTGGATGGGACGTAAACCAGAGGTCACATGTACACATTCGGACGACTATGGTTGTTCCTTTCCAGGCCCTCCGCCCTGCATCACTGACAAGGGGCAACCACGCCGTAAAAATCCGATGAACTTTCGCGGTCACCGCAGAGATCGGACGCAGGACTTCAAAGTTACCGAGCCAACGTCTAACTCAAGATGCCACCGAGACTCAATAAAAATGAAAGAATAACATCTCACTACCATCTAGTTTTCATCTATGAGTTACATTAGATTCACGTTTATCCCGTCTGTTAATGAAATAATAAGATACAAAACGTGTGGCCTAATTAAGTGTTAATATGTTGATGTGGACCGTACTTCCGGGGAATGAATACACAGTGATTAGCATCTTCTGAGTGCGCCTATGATCTCTGACAGGGAGCGGTATTATAACAGAAATAAATCACAGATTCATAAAATATTAATAAAATATTCGCTAATATGTCGAAGGTCAGTGTCATCCATTTCAAATATTTCAGTATACGACGTCGCAGCTATACACGAAAAGTGGGTTAATATTGATTGGTCATTTAAAAAGGAACTTTTTTTTTTTCCAAAAAACTATTCATTTTTTATTAAAAGTAACTTTCTTTTTATTACAAAGAAACTATTTTTATTTAATTGACTTTGATGGAAACACTGGGTCAATATAAAGGAAGTTGCAATGGTTGAATCTTTGTCAAAAAATGATGTATCACTACGCCTTAATGTTACCAGGTTCAGTAAAAGTGAAATCTATAGCAAAGAATTATATTAATTATTTATTGGTGCATGTAAGAAAGGATTAGGGGATAAATAAAATCTCCTACTCGTCTTGTTTGATATTAAGGACTCGTAGGAGATTCTCTAAATATTAATAAGATGATAGTATACAGGATATGATATACATTGAATCTGTTGTGGTATTGGCGACACGTGCAGCGGTATCTCGTGTTCTAGATAATAAAATGTATCTTATTTGTATTGTTTCAAGTTTGATATTTAACGTGGTGTTGATGACACGTGCAGCGATATCTTGTGTTCTAGATAATGAAATATATCTTATCTGTATTTTTTGATATTTAGTGAAATATAATATACTTAAGCTACCGCGGTACATTAGTATAGTCATTTACAATGTTTTTATTAGTTTTTAAAGTTACAGTAAAGAGCTCAAAATTCTTAACGAGACGACACTTACAAACAAGCAGTCAAAGTTGAAAGCACGCACATGAACGCCGACCAACTGCAGACTGTACGACAGTCCTTCTGTCCAGACATGGTCGAACGTCTTTAAGAGGTCTGCAAACACTACACAGAGATACCTGGTACTTATGACAGTTCCTACTGTTCTGCTCCAACCGGGCTAATGAATACGGGCATACACCATACAGTGTGTCATGAGGGACATTTTGCCCGAACAACTGCGCTACGGCCTACTCTTATATCGAATCCCTACTGTCAATGGATCTTTTACGCGCACACCAATGTGTACACGGAAACTCGTTTTTTAGTCCCACCCGAACGACTAGACTATTTGATATGTCGCGTTGTAGTCTGACATTGTGATTAAAAGAAGACCGGCCTGGGTTAAATCCGGACTGGCTCATGTCTATAAACTGGTTACTCCTAACCCGTCATTCACCCGGGTCTCTAGAGTCTTGCATGTTGAGGTGAAACCCCCAGTTCACAGCCTGTCATGCAATACAAGACAAGAAGATCATCCCATGATAGTTTCAACGAACATAACCATGAGAATCCTTGAATGTGAGGGCTCTTGAAGAAGAAATGTCGAATTCATCGTCGATTAATTGCGATTGATATTATAAAACTCGGGATTAATGTACTGTCTTATATTGGATCTCAATTAATAGTCGTTTTGAGGCCGAAAAGATGCATCGATTATTCCCTTAGCACATCATTTAATCATAGTAACAATAAATTAAGTTCATCGCCGCACGAACCAAAATGCCATACCAGATGTTATCGGAAAGATCATTTAAGAAATATATCATTGTATCATAATACTATTAAAACAATCCTAATATGAAATAAATTATACTAAGATAAGACTTTCTATCATAGCATTATATTAGGAATAACAATCTTAAAGGAAATATAGTTATCGGTTAATTAGGCAAATATATGAAATTTAATGTTGGTAATTTGTAAGCACACCTTAAAGTGAATTTCACCGGTATTGTGCTGACATGACTTTACTTTTAAATATACGTCTAACACGGTCTAACACGCAGGTCAGATCTCGATGTGCTTAACGATAAAATAAATCGCCGCAAGATATCAATAAGAACTAATGTGATTATGTGAACTTTAGATGACTTCAACTTCCGTTAGGATTGATCGTTTTGAATTTGTGATTTTTTGACAAACATGCCCATTTTTATTATGTGTTTTTAAATGTATATTTGCGTTTAGTTGGAAATATTGTGTCTTTATCCCATAACTTTTAACATTCTAAATTTGAAATTTAGTAGATTTACTTTTAAGACAATAGCCTACATGACAACATAATTTGAACTCCTCAATGTGAAGTGGTATCGGGTGTTCTAGAAAGAGTAAGTATATGATTTATATTTGACTGGATTCGTTTGATAATAGTGTAATAACACCAGATGTTAATTATTTAAAGATCATACTTAAAATAGAACTGCAATAATATACTGCTGATCCCGTGGGTATGGAGAGTTTGTTTCTCCAGAATTGTACGAGTATTGACATCTCTTACAACAATAGATATAGAAATGGATTTATGAATAATTGAAGCACTGGAGGATAAAATACAATAACGAATCGACATACTAAAACACTAGAACAAATTTAGAATATGTCGAACCAATAAAACGATAAAACAACCCTAAAATAATAGGCTTGTTGGTGGCACGATTGCAAGGCAATTATACGAGAAACTCGCGATTTTGAATGTTTTCGAATTGTTCAAGATGATAAATAATTGGACGTTAATGGTTATATAAATGCGTGTATAAGTTAATGTCATATACATAACCATAAGAGTAACTATTTTAATCTTGTCAAATCTCTTAACGAACTCGTTTATTGATGAACTAACGTGTATCAGAATATTAAGATAATTCAAAGATGACAGTATAGTGTCTACCAGGGAACAGCGGGGAGGGGGTCCTCTCCCACCTAGTCTTGAAATTTTTACTCCCCTAATTCCCCAAAACGGAAGATTAAACTGAAATGAAATGAAATGGGGTTTAACGTCGTCCTACTGTTAAAAACATTAAACTAACTTTAGCTATCAGCATCAGCGCTGAAGTTGTTAAATGTCGCATGTTATTTCTAATAGAGACAGTACGAACTCTACACAATTGAATTTTGGATTATGAAGATTAAGCTGAATTCTGTTGGTTTACTAAATTTAATGTCACTGTTGACTTTCTCTGTTGACAGTGGAATGCACAGCCGGTTATACCCGAACTATAGATTGCCACCCCACAAAACAAATCAATATATAAAATCATATGAAATTGACAATTTTGTTTTTTCCCTACATCGAAAGGGTCTAGTTATTTTAAATTAGGAGACCATGTCTAATCCAGTTTCTAAATTTAATTTGACCTATATATAAATATCCATTATATAGAACATAATTAACAACCTTTGTTGAGAATATACCCTTTATATTGTATTTATTTCAGTCTAAAATAAATGTATATCCCGATTTAAATCACTTTTATCGCGTTTAACAGTACATCATACAAAGCATTTATTTTCTTGTAGCGTGGGATAGCGTGAAATCTACATGTACACTAACATCGGACACCACCTTTGATGAACTATTATCAGAGACAAAACGTGACGCAGTTAGTGAAATAGTATAGTAAAATGTTCAGTCGCAATTTACGATGCGCAAAATGATCTAAATTTCAGCGTTCACAAATTAATAAAATTTGAAGATATATAAGGCGTTGGCACTGAAAATCAATCTATTTGCAGTATTTACAATGTGTTATAGCACTAGTCTAGTTCTAATTTTAATTAGACTTAATAATTTTCATTTTGTATGGAAACATGATCACAGCATGGACAGCAATGTTCCCGACTACTCGTCTTCAAATTCCAAATGGAGCGTTCACGTGTCCTACCAATTTGTACAAAGAACAAGACGCGTCCTTCTTGGGACATTCTACCCTTCTGTTAGAATTCAAAGGGAAGTTGGGGGAGATAGTTTACCTTCTTCCGCACAAAACCAAACTGATATTTAAATAATTAATCTATAATATATCGACACATATCTTAAAAGTTCAATATGCTAGAACAAACTGTCTGAGTCCCTACCTTCAAAAGTAGCTTTAACAAAATGTATTATTATTCCCCAATTATTAAAATCGACCAAGTTATGGCCATTTACATTACGTTTTAGTTTCTATCAATTCCACGCCTTTATTTTATGTGTTTGTAATCCTTTTTCGATGTCTTAACGATACCTCATTTCTATCAGTTTTAATCCTAGAATATGATAGACATAACACCCTCAGTCAATATCTTTCAGAATTAAATGGGATAAGGACGGTTTTCTACCATACTCCGTTTTAAGAAGAATATGTGTATTTTTTCGTATTCAAGATAAGATAGATTTTTTTCCAATGTCTATAACGAGCTATTGAAACTAACAATAACCTAATTAAAAACGAGGGGTAAGTGTATGATTGAATCTACAGTAGTTGTGCATCTTATCAGAAAAATATATTCATTGACACAACAAAATCAGAAGCGGTTGACGTCTGAACTTTTTGCCAGACGTGTAAAAATGAAGACGTGTAAAATGAAGAGTGATGAAAAAACAGTTATTAAGCCAAAGAATTTTGTTTTACTTACCCTACCCCCACCAGAACCCACAACACTTGTCCAAGATCTGGGTGTCAATCTGTCGCCTCTCTCAACAACTTTTGGGTATAGTATTTTAGCTTTTGGCCAGTTAAGTGATTGAGAAGATTCCAATGAGCTAGTACATCCCATAGTGTGCGATACATCCTGGCATTCTATATGAACACCTCGACATTCCAACTTGTTAGTTACTTCAAATTTAAATCAATTCACACATTCGATTCAAACTATATGGCACACAAATTTCTGTTTATCATTCGGGATTCTTCGTAAAAATCAAATCTAAAATTTGAAATATAAAAACAATAAAAACTGTCCCTAAAATATTGAAATATATTACCCCACGTAGATTTTTGTTAGTACTGTAGGTAATACTTGCACTTTGCTAAATAGTTTGCTATATTATGTCGTGAGGAGTCAAGAATATTGAGAAGACCGAAAAGCCTCTTAACATTTTGTGGATATTGTTCGACAATGAATATTGTAACAGTCATGGTTATGCACTTGGATCTCAACGGAAGAAAAGTTTAGAAAAAGTTTTAAAAGTTCAAAACGCGTCGAGAGAATCGAAGATTTTAGGAGATAACGACTGAGTATCCAAAATATATTGCCCTGCTGTTACTTCTTCTAATAGATTATAGACAGAGATGAAATCGTTTCAGCAGCGAAAGATTACGTTTCAAACGCGGGGTGTAAAGGAAAGCAAATTGATTAAAGTCAACACATGTATTATCTTATATTTATTGTGAATTTAAAAAGACCCCCCCCCCCCCCCTAAAAAAAAAAAAAAAAAAAAAAAACATGCATCGGAAATATTAGGCTAATTATTAGCTTATGGAAATTCATATCCAACCAAATATCAGTATTGATATTTACATTCAACCAATATTAAATTCACTTCGTAGATTTACTTTTTAAACAAAGTGAACCTGAGCTGTTAATTTAGTATTTGAATATCTTTAACTCTTTGATCTATATTTAAATATTTCTAATTCAATTATCTATATTTAAATATTTCTAATTTAGATATCTTTAATTCATTAATCTACAGTTAATATGTATTTATTTGTAATACAGTATTATAACCTACCTTACACGTAGCCTGCAATTGGATTAGTCTATGCGCAATATTTGTCGTCTACCTAATATCACATCATCCGACAAACTGGAAAAGACCGCCAATATCAACCAATATTGATATATACAGATATACATATCTCTCGAGAGACCGTTATATGACGTTGTATACCGGGATCGATCCCCGTGCAAAACGACTAGTGAAAATATTGCAATATGTCTTCTGATTACAAGTGGACAGGTAAATTACCGTTATTGCTATCATCAAATATTAACAGGTAACTGGTGAGTTGTCGCATGTATACACGCGTCTTCTGGGAATTTAATACCATTCATTTCCCTGCCAACGTAATTACTATAAAATATTATACAAGTAAAAAAAAAGGATTTCAAAATATAAATACGCAATAGGTTAATCTGTGGAATTATAGTTGTTGTCGCCAACAACATTAAATTAATCAAACAATGAATTAAGAAATAATGTGGCGTGAAAAATGACATGTTTTCGATGCCATCTTTTAAGATCATTTCCGCGTTTAGGGATATAATAAAGCAATTCAGTTTGATATACAAATGGATAAGACAGGAAATTTAACTAACTTCCTACTTTAGTGATAATGAAACTTCTCAGATTTAACATTTGTGAGTAAACTTTGATATAAGATACATTTTTTTCTTTAGAATTAAACTTCATGTATTTGGTTGTCAGCAACTATACATCCAGCTAAGTCGCCTGGGCAGTTCATATTATTTGTCGCATAGTTATTCTATGATCGGTATAACTTGGAGCATTTACAAGACACTAAATGGAGGGTTCATAAGATTTTAAAAAGTTGGCAAAGTCTATAACCCTGACAATTATAATCAGGTTCATCATGTCATAGAGAAAATCTCTGTGCATAAATTTAAAGTCAATCGGAAGAGAACTTTAGTCTCGGGCGTCCACAAGTTTCTGAAAATGATCAAGGGCCATAACGTTGAAAATAATTATCGGATATCCATGAAAATAAATGGACCCTCTTTGTCTCATAAACATTGTGTATAAATTTTAAGTCAGTTGGATCATAGCTTTATTTTCTGGAACAACCACAAGGGCCATAACTCTGATAGTAATTATCAGAAATCATTGAACATCAACAGGATTGGTCGTCGCATAAACTGAACCAGTGTAAATTACAAATCAGTCGATAACTTTAGAACCAACAGCGGTGGGTAAGGCGCTGACTCGCTAGCCGGGAGGTCGGGTGTTCGATCCCTGCATTGACCGAGAAAGTTATTCCAGATTTTCCGGCGTGGTTCCCTCTTGTCAGTGATGCACGAAGGAGGGCCTGACAATACAGCTGTCTAGTCGTTCGGATGGGACGAAAAACCGAGGTCCTGTGTACACATTGGCGTGCACGTAAAAGATCCCTTGACAGTTGGAATTCGATATAAGAGTAGACCGTAGTGCCGCTGTCCGGGCAAAATTTCCCTCATAGCACATTGTATGGCGTATGCCCGTCTTCATTAGCCCAGTTCGGAGCAGATCAGTAGGACGTTAAACCCCATTTCATTTCATAAGATTTTGAAAACTTATCAAGGGCTATAACCGGAATTTAGTAAAGCTTAAACACAATGGGGAAAAATTTAAACCAATTGATAACTTTAGCCTCAAGATATTAGGCTTAAAACAGAGTTAATAAAATGCCTGGAAATGCTGAATGAAACGCCAGGTGAAACGAGGCTACGAAGCCACCGATCTTTTATTGTTTAATAAATAATGGGTCTGAATTGATTTAAAATAATCATATCAAGACAGCAGGTGCTAATCTTCTGGAGACTTGGAGAAAAACAATTGAGGGACAAATGAATTAGCAGAATGGTCTGTTCACAAAAGAAAACTTATCACCACCTACATATCAAAATAGACCTTTTTAATTCTATCAAAAGAATCACTGAGTTCCCGATAGCTGTACAAGACCAGGGTAAAGACTTTACACAAAACAATTGGCGGTTTAATTTACTAAATGAAATATATTTGTGCGTCTCCCACATATGTTGACTGGGTTCGGGTGTCAAATCTGTTCGTTCTAAGAACGTTCTTATCACAACTTTAACTATATTTTCACGCCCTCTAATTTTGAGTCAATGTGATTAGTCATGGCAAGAAAGTCCATGTGTAAACGAAAATGATTTTAAAATACATTTCCTCGGAACGTGTTCTCACGATACCATGAATGGTTGTTCTATTTTCCAACCATTGGTTTATGAAAAGTACACTTCCCTTTGACCTTTGATTGATCGTTAATACAAACTGCCATGGTCTATCGCACGTTACATTTTCAGTGGAAACTTGCAGATAAACCAATTAGAAGAATATAAACGTAAAAGAAGGGGCAAAATTACTCGATTAGAAGGGATTGTTTTCATTTTGCAATTAGTTTTGGATAGAAAAGGCGGGGAAATTGGGGGGGGGGGCAGCGTTTCATAATGTTTCATTGACATCCCTCTTGAAGGGCACAAACATAACATGGTAAGTATACCAGCAGACCAAACAGGCTTGTTAATCACTTGTTTGGAATCCTATTGTAACATTAGATATGTATATATCGTACAAATAAGTTTATTATAGATTGTATATAATAAACAGTGGTGCATCAAATATTTGTGTAGGTAATGAAATGGAACAATTAACTATGTTAGTAACAATACTTGTTTAAACGTTATGCTCCACTGAGAATTTCAGAAGTACATTATTTATCAATTATGCTGAATCAGCATCTTTCATGTTTTATATAATTGTGTAAATACGTAGACCATAATATTGTCCTTGCATTTTGTATAAAAGGTAGGGTACAAGTGTACGAGATCATAGTGTTATCGTTTGATATATTATAACCGGGGGAGTTCATTAAATACGGGGATCCACGGTGGCTCAGTCGGTAGAACGTTGTGTCACTAACATGGAGATCCAGTTATCGTTCGATCCCTGCTTTCGCCAAGAACGTTTATCGAGGTTTTCCGGCGTGGTTCCCTTTGTCAGTGATGTAGGTCGGAGGGCCGGGCAAGAGACAACGCATAGTCATTCGGATGGTACAAAAACCCAGGACCCACGTACACATTGGTGTGCACGTAAAAGAACCCTTGATAGTTGGAATTCGAAATAAGAGTAGGTCACTTTATTGTCGGCAATCGAGGCTATAGTAAATAATACACTCGGGGACGGTGCGACCAGCCAAGAACTAAATTGTTAAAAACGTACAGAGTGGCCTTATCCGGTGTTTGGAAAGAATAGATACGACCTGTCTCGTGCATGATATGTCTGATAAAGGGGCAATTACAGGTCTAGGTTTGAATAATACTGTTTCTTCATTCTTGTTATTTGTATACATAATTCATATTGGAGAGGATTTCAGCGTGGTCAGGCTAAATGTGGTTCTGTGTGTAGCTTCATGGGCCTGTACATTATTACCGATGCATATTTCAGATTAACAGACGGGGGCAATGAATAGAAATCAAAATAGAAATAAAAGAGTTATCTCCCATAGTGTATTTTCGGGCATTCAAACCCAAGCCCATTCGCTTTCGCCTTCAAATATTATGCATCTATTAATATAACAGCGAAAAGCATGTTTTGTTAGTCTTTTCTTTCCAGTGTATACAATTACTTAAAGTTTATAGTAGACTAGTACTAATTCAAGTTTAAAGGTGGTATTTTAAAGGAGCGAGCGAGAGCGAGAGAGAGAGAGAGAGAGAGAGAGAGAGAGAGATGGGTTTAACGTCCACTCGACACAAACTAGGTAATTTCGGGACTAACACATGGTTCAATTTTATTTCGATAATTCGCTTGCGCGTAGGGGTCTTTAACAGTGGGAGAAAATCGGGGAACCCGGAGAAAACCCACGAGGTTGGACAGGCGATCCTACTCTTTGTCACGTACACTGAGGAATCGAAACCCCGCCAGTTTTAAAGGTGCAATGTCTTTAACCCAATATCATCACAGTCTTCGACATTGCAAACACGACTTATTGGTTAATTTAAAGGACAATATTGGTGTCAGTCATTATAAAATATGTGATAGAGCTCGTTAAATACATCCCAAATATAATTTTAACGCAGAGATCATTGCTACGGTAGCTGAGTAATAAGCACGTGAAGAAACGGGAAGTGGCGTCAAACATGACAAACACGAGTTGTCCTTCTATATAACAGACTGAAGTAACGAGCGGTAACAGACAAACGATCGAATTTCATTTCACTGATAATTCAGTTGAAGATGAAAAGTTGTTATATGAGACAAGGTAGCTTCATTATTTGTTTGACTGGACAAGACATTTTAGACTATAATTCAAATACCAATTAATAAAAAGGTATTTTAGTAATAGATATACAAAAATGAAATGAAATGAAATTTAATGTCCTACTGTTCAGTTCCCAATGGGCTAATGAAGACGGGTATACGCCGTATAGTGTGCTATGAGGGAAATTTTGATCTTGCAGCTGCACTATGGCCAACTCTTATATCGAATTCCAACTGACAAGGGATCTTTTACGTGCACGCCAATGTATACACAAGGTCTGGGCAGCTGTCCTTGTCAGGCTCTCCTCCCTGCACCAATGACAAGGGGGAACCACGCCGGAAAATCCCGTTGAACTTTCTCGGCCAATGCAGGGATCGAACACGGGACCTTCAGACTAGCAAGCCAGCGTCCTACCCACTTAGCCACCGTGGTTCCCTAAAAATATACAAATGAAATGAAATGAAATGGGGTTTAACGTCCTACTGTTCTGCTCCTATGCTGGGCTAATGAAGACGGGCATACGCCATACAGTGTGCTATGAGGGAAATTTTGCCCGGGCAGCGGCACTATCGCCTATCGAATTCTAAATGCCAAGGGTTCTTTTACGTGCATTCCAATGTACACACGGGACCTCGGTTTTTCGTCTCATCCGAAGGACTAGACAGATGTCCCTGTCAGGCCCTCCGTCCTGCATCACTGACGGGGGGGGGGGGGCGTTGAACTTTCTCGGCCAATGCAGGAATCGAACACGGGACCTCCAGACTAGCAAGCCAGCGTCCTACCCCCTTAGCCACCGCGGTTCCCTAAAAATATACAAATGAAATGAAATGGGGTTTAACGTCCTACTGTTCTGCTCCTATGCTGGGCTAATGAAGACGGGCATACACCATACAGTGTGTTATGAGGGAAATTTTGCCCGGGCAGCGGCACTATCGCCTATCGAATTCTAAATGCCAAGGGTTCTTT